CAGGGTCATCCAAGTCCCGAAAAGCCATGCAAGGCAAGGCAGAGGCAGGCTGTGGCTAGACGTGTTGACATGAACAGGCTGCCTACATACATAGTACATTATGATGACAACCCACAGAGACTGCCGCTTCACCGCCTGACGAGACAGGCAAGTCCTTGATTGGGGGTTCTCGTGCAGCCACCAGGAGAGCAAACCACGTACACGCACAGTCTACAGAGCGCTCCCCATAGCATTGAATCCCTCTTGAGCAGATTGCCAATGCGACCAAGGTTCAAGCACGAAGTTGAGGAAGCGGTGACAGCCCTGTCTAAGCGTCCAAACCTAACAGACTTTGCACTAAAAAAAGGGGGGGGAGGGAGAAACTTGGGCGTCCAATGCACTGACACTGACAGAAGCCATTTCTGTCAACGGTCTGTGTGTATTCATCGCTCGAACAAGCTTGACAGGCATGGCCACATGGGGCGCTGTGGACCAACCACTCTGCACTGCGCTCAGGGGGGAAGTAGCCCCTGACAGGAAAACGGAACAAGACAACAACTGTCAACTGGGACTAGTCCGGACGACCTCCGACCTCCGACCTGCTAGACTGGGTTGTCAGTGTGCCAGCCCCTCACTGTAGGAGGGGAAAGAGAGGGGTGGTTCAAGAGCGAGACAAGAAGAGAAGAAGAAGAAAAAAGACAGGTGGTGGAGGAGGAGGAGGAGGAGGAGGAGGAGGAGGAGGAGGAGGAGGAGGAGGAGGAGGAGGAGGGGTGAGGATGATTTGTCTAGATTGCCTCGCTACTTGCACGTCACGAGAAGAAGATGACTGGACGTCGGACAGGGAAACGAGACGCGGGGATTTTGACGGATCAAGAAGGACGCATCGGTTTTTTTTTTTTCCCTTTCTCAATTTCCCACCGCTACGGACACCAACCGTTACCGGTAACGGCTCGTAACGACAACGGACGTTGACTTGGCTGACGCGGGCGGCAGGCTCTCGAGTATTTGCGTGTACCTGAGAAGTATCCGACGATCGAGTGCAACCACATCTGCGAGCTCATCCCTGAGCTGCTGGGGGCGCGCGCGGGAAAGGGTTTGGACAAGGTTGCCAGGAGCGGCGGCCCTTCCTTTGCCTTTCTGGGACTGGGAAAGGGAAGATGACGAGCCCGACAGCTGTGCTGCGCTGTGTCAGACTCTCTCTTCCTCGCCCTCTCCGTTCTTCTCAATTCTCACTCTCACTGTCATTCTCACTCTCACTGTCAGTCTCACTCAGTCGGGGCACCCATCCACCCACCCACCCAAACACCTAATCAAGCCAGCTTTTACCCATATGCATGGCGGTTACAGTACACGGTTGACGCCATTCCACTTTGTACCTCTGCACGGCCGGTAGGTAGTGTAGTGTACGTATACACACCACAAACGCAGTACCCGCAACTCTCCTCCCCGACCTGGCCAGGCACGGCGCGCGCAGGACTACGGATACATCGAAGACGCTACCCCGACCAGGACAGGGTCGGGAGATGGTGACGCAGCGCCTACCTATATAGGTACTGTACGCTTACGATGCGAGGTACTTTACCTACGTTGGCTCTCTGGCAAGTCTTTTCTCTCCAGAGTGGATTTATGTATGTATGTATGCATGCATGTACTTGAGCGGTGCAGTGTCTCCGTGTACGGATATATCATTTGACTGTACTTGCAAGGTCCCTTGGGTACTAAAACGCCCCAACTTCCAAAGCCGCGCAGGTCAGCCAGTGAGAGAGAGGATGCTGCGGTCCCCGTCTGTGGTCCCTTTCCCCTCTACCAAGTAACGCACACTACGATGCGTGTTCGTGTGTGTGTGTGTGTGTGTGTGTGTGTGTGGTGTGAGTGTGTGGCACCCCCCGCCTCCCCCCGTCAAACTGGGCTTCCCCCGTCGACGGCGCAGGGGTATCTTGGGCCGCTGTCTGGCCTGCCGGCGCCCACTTCAACCGTGCTTTGCTCTTCCCACCACACACACGCACCACCCTAAAAATCGCTACCCTTTTGCCTTTTCCCTTACGTTGATCGGTTTTCCCTTTTGCCTCCCCTCCCCCTTCTTATGTTTTCTCTTCCTGTACACCATCCTTGTGTCAGTGTATTCCAAACAAACCGCCCTTCTCTCTCTCTCTCACTCAGCCTGCCGCTCCCTGGCTCTCCAGGGCGCGACGTGTGTCTGTGTGCGTGTGTGTGTCTGTGTGTGAGAGACTTTTGTTCTTCTTTTTCGATTGTACTACTCTGTACTGGACCTGGGGAAGAAACACGAAACCGAGGATATAGAGAGAGAGGAAACCCCGCCGTAGGTAAGTGTACAGTTCTGGTCTTTTTTTTCTTCTTTCTCCCTTCTTCTCTTTTTCTGGTGTTTCCTTTTATGGCCCCGGTGCTATGGGTGTGTGTGGGGGTTGAATGTCTCGCGCATTCGCATCGACTTGTGTTGTAGAGCTCTCCCCAGAGAGAGAGAGAGAGACAAGAGAGAGCAACTGCGCCGTGCCGACAAGAAACAACCCCGCCGAGAAGGGAGCGAGAGAGAGAGAGAACAAACAAAACCGGTACCCTATTCCTGCGCGCTGCGCCGCCGACTCGGGAAAGCCAACCATCCCGCCAACCTTCGATGCGCGCCCAACGGTTTACCGACATCAACCACAATACTACGGAGCTGGACTGCCGGAAACATCACACATCATACACCATAACAAAAGGGGGGGACAAGAGGTTGGGGGGCGCTTGCGGCGGAAGCTGGGGAAAGCAACAACGACGAGACGGTTTCGGCTTGCGCTTTTCCAAGGGACACCGAGGAGAACCAGGAGGAGAGAGAGTTACAAGGCGAGACATTCGGGTCTCACGCTACGCGGTCCAGCTCCATCCGCTGCTGCCACGCGTGGTCCCGCCCCGGCCGCCATCGTTGCGCTCTCTCTCTCTCTCTCTCTCTCTCTCTCTCTCTCTCTCTCTCTCTATCTCCCCTTGACTCTTCAGTGCTTCACCGGCCGCCACCCGCATTTGGAGACGACGGGCCATGAGGGACGCTACCTCGCGTTACGTTACCCCCCCCTTCTCCCAGTTGGGGGTCCAGCTGGGGGAGGGTGTAGGGACCAGCACCGCCCGACTTTGCCAGATCAAACACCCCGCCTCCGGCTTTCCTTGTTTACCAGACCCGCCAAACTCTCGCTCTCTGCTCCGTGTTTCTTGTTGTCGTCACGGCCGTCTCCCCCCTTTTTAGCCTACCAACCGCAGCAGAGCCTCGGGTGCTGCCGCTGCTTCTGTTCTGACCACACTGACCTCCTTCCGTGTTCCTGTCGCTGACCGCCCGCCTTCCTTGATGCCAACAGTATCGTAGAAACCCCGCCGCCACTTGGCTCCTTGCGCCGTGTACGAGTTGTTGTTGTACGCCAAAGTATGGACGAGCTACGTTTTCGATCTCAACCGCCCACCCGTAACGATTCCACGATGAACACGCTTGTCTCGCCCCCACGGAACGGCAATCGCCTCCCTCAGCCTGTCCAGGCCGCCCACGACGGCCGAGGTTCCCTGCCTCGTCGCTTCACCACCGACTCGGGGCGTGTACCAACATTGTCTTCCATTACCAGCCAGCGCGGCCCTGACCTCGGTGGTCAGGATTACAACAACGTATGTCGCCCTCCCCCCTCCGTTCGTTGGGCCGCTGTTCCTCTGCGCGTCTTTGCTTGAATGCGGCTGACCTTTTTATTTTCCAGACTATGCACAAAGTTCAGTTGGTACGTGTGGGCTCGTCGACCCTTGTTCTTGCGACAGACGGCTGCTCGCAGGAGAATGGCCCGCCACCCGAAGCTAACAAGCGGCGCAGATCGAGAAGAAGAAGATCGAATACGAGAGGCTCCGCGAGCAGAGGCGCCGTTTCGAGATGGAGATGCAGAAGCTGGAGCAGGCGCAACGTCGCGAGGAGATGGAGCTCGCCAAGATGCAGGACGACCTCCGCCACGGCCACCAGTCGGAGCCCACGACACCCCCCGAATACCACGAGTCGTCGGGCTTCCCCACCATGTTCTCGCGCCCCAACCGGTACTCGACTTCGAGCTTGACGTCGCCTCCCGGCCTCTTCAACCGCCCCGGTCGTTCGGGGTCGCAGCTCACCTCGCCCCAGTCGACCCTGATGCAGTCCCGCTTCACATTTGACGACCACATGCCGTCCCGATCCGTGCCGGGATCCCGCAGAAACAGTGACGAGGACGAGAAGGAGGAGGCTGTTCGCCAGGACCCGACTAGCCATCGGTCCTCCAACGCGTGAGTGCCGTGACCCTGCCCCCCTTTCGTATTGTATGCTGTGCATCTTGTGGACAAGTCGTTGGTGAGTATCGGTCCGGTGAAATGTGGTAAACGCGATCCCTCGGGGGTCGAGGGACCGTAAACTCGAATCCCACAGGCAATCCTGCTCGTTCTGATGCGTTCTTCTTGCCTTGGGAGATACTGCGGTGTGTTGAAGTGTTGAAGGCACTTCAAGAAGGCGCGCGGTTCCGTTATGGAATTGATGGACGGACTCCTTCCTTCAATTGCCTCCTTCTGGATCGCCTCACCCACCCACCGATAATAGGCCAACTTTGAGCCTTGAGTCTGTGGACCTCTTGATCTCTCTGATACACAATCACACACCACATCAGACCGCTCAAGCCACAGTCATCAACCAAGCCTCCTTGGCACCATCTTACAGCATTGTGAATTGGCCTTTGACTTTTACTCTGACTATTCACTTCACACGCTTGTTCTGAACTTGCAACAACGCACCTTCTGTTCTATTCAATCTCGCCGTTGCAAGTTCCCAATCTTCAATCTGGGCGTGCCTGCCTTTCGCAATCTTTCACTCTTCGGTCTCAAGCTTCGCAGCAATTCCTTCACTATCCCCCTCTATTTAAGGCTTTCTTCATAAAGGCCTTTCTCTCATTTCTTTCTTCCAGAAACAGAAACAGACCAACAATTTGTCCACAAGTGAAGCATACTTACTACAGGAAATCAAGTACACAATCGAAGCAATGGCTGACTCTGGTTCCCCTAACAACAGCTACAATCGCTACTCGATGCCAGTCACACGTTCCCGCACTGGTCTCTATGGTGCCGACCTTGACCAGACTGGCACTGCCCGCTTCCTCTTTGGAGAGGAGGACACTTCAGGCGACAACAAGTACGGCCAGAACAACGGCGACGATAACTTTCCAACTTTGGTTCGCCGAGACGATCAGATGGTAAGTCACTCTTTGCAGACCCCCTTCCCACCCAAACACTGTCTGCCCTTTTTTTATATTTCCCCTCCAAAACATGAGCAAGCCAGTGCCATTAAGGGCTCATGTGAGCTTCCTCGCTGGCAGGCTGAGGTTGGATGTCCTAAACCAACTTTTGGAGACGGGAAGGTGCAAGCCGCCAGCCACAAGCCGAAGCAACTGCACCTGCCTTCAACCTCACCTCCCGATTCAACCCCACCGCCTTCCCCAGAAAACATCCTTCGCGTCCATGCTTCTTTCCGTTTCTGTTCCCGTTTCCCAATTTTCCCTTACGACACAAAAGAGACAATCACCCTGTTTTGTTTGTTCGTTTACACCGTTCCTCGCACTTTCCCAATTGGGATGGCCAGGGTCAGTTTTGCAGGAGTTTTCAACTTGTCGACGTCAAATCCACGCCCATCCAATTGTCAGCCTCTGTACCAGTGTTGACAATTTGTTTGCGTCGTATAGCTCTCTGCATCTTCCGCTGCCCTTGACCTTGCCCTCTCCCCCTCGCCCGCTCCTGGCGCGCCCTCTTCCAACGGTTGGGGCAATATTAACCGTCACCGCACCCAACAGAGCTTGTCTGCCATCAACACGTCTGCCCTCAACGGAGCTGCTTCTCCCGGAGACATCGGCAACCGATCTTCTGTCCGCCACTCGCTCGACTTGAAGTTCTACCCCGACGCTCCCTCCGACAGCAACCAGAACCCCATCGTCTCCCCCACCGGGAACCACATGATGGCCACTCCTCCCAAGCTGCAGAGCTCCTTCTCTGCCAATGACGTACCCACTGTCAAGAACGCCAACGGCGGCTTGGTCACCAACAACCATGCCCAGCAGCATTTCCACAACCACAATGCTAGCATTGGTCGCATTCCCGCCGGCGCTGTTGCAGGCCGTCACAGCCGTGAGCTGTCCAACGACAACAGCATGGGCGGCCAACGCGAGCAGGCCGGACCTTACCCCTCTATCCAGTCCGCTCTCCAGGCCAACGCCGCTCCCTTCGGCCCAGGGGCGTCTGGCCAGGTCTTCCCCCACACGTCCCAGGGAAACCAGGCCCCCAATGGGACTGCTACTGCCGGCCCCAGCAATGGATACGGCGCCTTCTACCCCAGCGGCTACGTCTCGCCCAACAGCAACGGCCCGCCCACCTCTGGTCCCTACGGTCTTCCTCTCCTGGCCATGAGCATGCAGAACATGAACCTCAACAACGGCAACACCATGTACCCCCCTCAGAACTACGCCGGCTATGGCTCGCTCTACACCCCCCCGCAGCAGCAGCAGCAGCAGCAGCCGCCGCCTCAGCCTCGTGACAGCCAGGCCCGGGTCATCCAGCACCGCCGCCAGATGGACAATGAAGGTACGTTGAGTTCTCGTTCCTCGTCCCTGCATCGCACCGCTAACATTTCCCTCAGCCATGTCCCGCTACAACGGCCTTGCCCTTGAGAACGTCGGTGGCCAAATCTATGATCTCTGCAAGGACCAGCACGGCTGTCGCTATCTGCAAAAGAAGCTCGAGGAGCGCAACCCGGAGCAGGTCCACATGATCTGGCTCGAGACCAACCAGCACGTCATCGAGCTCATGACGGACCCCTTTGGCAACTACTTGTGCCAGAAGCTTTTGGAGTTCTGCAACGACGATGAGCGCACTGTCCTCATCCAGAACGCTGCCGCCGACATGGTTCGCATCGCCCTCAACCAGCACGGCACCCGCGCGCTCCAGAAGATGATTGAGTTCGTCACCACCCCTACTCAGATCGAGATGATCATCAACGCCCTTCGCTTCCAGGTCGTCGAGCTCATCCAGGACCTCAACGGCAACCACGTCATCCAGAAGTGTCTCAACAAGCTCAGCGCCCAGGACGCGCAGTTCATCTTCGACGCCGTCGGCACCCACTGCGTCGACGTTGGCACCCACCGCCACGGCTGCTGCGTCCTCCAGCGCTGCATCGACCACGCCTCGGGCGACCAGAAGACCTGGCTGATTGCCAAGATCACCGAGCACGCCCCGATCCTTGTCCAGGACCCCTTCGGCAACTACGTTGTGCAGTACATCATCGACCTCAACGAGCCTTCCTTCACGGAACCCATTGTCCGCATGTTCCAGAACCGCATCGGCCAGCTTTCCCGCCACAAGTTCAGCTCCAACGTCATTGAGAAGTGCTTGCGCTGCTCCCAGGAGCCCTCCCGCGACATGATTGTCGAGGAGCTCCTGACCCCCGGCGAGATCGAGAGACTCCTCCGCGACTCGTACGCCAACTACGTCATACAGACCGCCCTCGAGTACGCGACCCCCCACGGCAAGTTCCGCCTGGTCGACGCCATCCGCCCCATCTTGCCGTCCATCCGCTCGACCCCCTACGGCCGACGCATCCAGGCCAAGATCCAGGCGTTCGAGGGTCGTGGTAGCGCCACTTCCAGCGGCCAGGTCACTCCCGCGGACCCCAGCCAGGGCCAGATCCCCCTGCGCTCCGGTCACAACCGCGCCATGTCCAACAATACCTCCGTCATCTCCCCCGGCGGTGCTTTCGGCAACGGCCTCAACGGCGCCATGGCCTCCCGCGGTAACCAGGCCAGCTACCCCGCGGCCAACAACGTCACGGTCCCTCCCCCCGGCCCCCAGGGCCAGCGGATGCCGCAGTTCGGCTTCAACGCCCAGCAGCGCACCAACGGCGGCGCAGCCGCCGACACGGGCGCCGGCGGTGAGACCCAATGGCTGTAATTGTATTGGACGCGTTGTCGACGTTGTTTGGCATCCAGGATCCCACTTCCTATTGGTACGAAGCGGGACGCAGGCACTCGACAACGGACACGATGGGCGGCGGCGAAATGATGCTTTCCGCAACGGTTTTCTTTTCGACACAGCACGGCGACAACACGCAGCAACGACTTGATGATTCTTTTCCTTTTGATTGTCTGTGCAAACACCCAAAATCATCCACCATACAACTTCGCAATCCCACCCCACCTCTTCATCCGTCGAGCACGGCGGTCTTTGCATCCGGTTGCAAGGCCAGCTTTGTGTGTACACTATGGACCCGGGCAGCGTACTGAGTGCCCTCTTTCGGCATTTGCAGCGCAAAACAACACAAGAATCGCATTCTGCTTCTCGGCAGCCGTCAACAGATCGGACGGGGCCTTCAATAGGCTTGTACTTGATTCGATGCGACACATCGACATAGACGAAACGCTTTTTCCTTTCTTGCCGCTTTCCATTTGTCTCTTTCGGTACCTTTCTGCTTTTTCTTCTTCTTCTATTCTCGACGCTCGCTCTTCACACGGAAAGGGAGACACTGCCAGCTTTCTTCCTTGGTGCATGGTTGGATCGGGCTCACGACGATGACATGGGCTTAATTCATTCGACGAAATGCCAGTTACGACGCTGATCACGAGACGCGCGACGATTTTCCGGAAGAGATTGGTTTCTTTTCATTACGAGCTATGGCCTTTGCGGTGTGCTGCGGGCTCCATTGGATTGCCCTGCTCTGCGTTGCGATGGATCTCTCCACTCCAAGTCACGACTGGAGATGTGCTCGACTGCATGCACGTGCATTGCAATGGAGTCAATCAACATCGGGACATGACAGCATTGGAGGCATTTTTGTTTTCACTTTTTTTTCTTTCCCTTTTTCTTTCTCGCACGTAGTTTGGCATCGTTTGCTGGTTTCGCGATGGGCCGCCTGGTAATACCGCCCACGGCTTTCTGACTGGGAGGACGATAGAACAGGCAAGACTGGGAGGTTCATCAAGAGGGGCGAATGTTGCTCTCGCATTTTGGGGGGGTGGGGGTTTCTGGAACAGATTCGATTGGCCTTCTGCAGATGGGAGAAAGTTTTCTTGAGTGTGTATGAGAACCATAGGGACGATCATGGGCGTTAATTTATTTCCTTCTCACTTCTTTCGGCCGGCGAAAGGGGAGATGACGGGGGAGGACTTGGCTTGATTTGCGAATGCTCATCAGCAAGTTGCCCACAGCAAGCACCCTACGACCGCGCATGTATTTAGGCAGATGATGCAAGACAAGGACCTTTGAACCAAAAACAAACGTTTGCCCATTTCCGATGCGCCTGTGACTTGTGACGCGACACGCGACACGCACGCGATGGAGGAGGATTGCGTCTGTGTAGCTATATTTGGCGCCTCTTGAATAGACTCGGTCGGCTCCAGGGAAAACACACACCGACAAAGGAGGTGGGGCATGTGAAGTGACCGAGTGCCAGCGGCGCGGCTTGATTGGCTCACAGACCGTGCCCCCCCGCGGGACGACAGGAGGTTCTAGAACAGTACTCCGTACCTACAGTACATGCTACAGGTGGCGGGTGGTCACACGCAGTCTGATACGCAGGCGCGCTCATGCCATGAAAGGGAAAGGAAAAAAAAAAAAAAAACCCCAGGCCGCAGTTTTTAGTTGTCGAGGCCTCCTTCCTTTACCCTTTTTTATTTTCATTCTACTTCTTACTTGTTTCCCTCTCTCCCACCGCCACCACTCTCTTCTTCTCCCCCCTTCTGTGAGACACAAAAGGCCTCGAACAGCGACAACCGCGCGAAACCCACCCACTTTTATTTTTTTCATTCTGCTCTTTCGCAACTTGTTTCGCGAGCTCGAATCTAGTCATTTTTCATCTGTTTTGTTTGCTTCGAACTCGATAGCGAGAAGGGGGAGCAAACGCAACATCTTAGAGATCACGTCAAAAAACTAAGAAAACTAAGAGAGACACAAACAAAGACAAAATGACACGTGGCAACCAACGCGACAAGGCCCGCGAGGCGGCCCAGAAGAAGGCCGCGGCTCAGGTAAGACCTGTTTTCTGCACCCCTTTTTCCGACTTACGACGCGTTCCGCGGAGGGGAAGGGAGGAACGAGGAGGGTTCTCTGGTGATGTATTGGACCATCGCCGCGCTCTCTCGTCCGCAACGCTGTTTGTGCGCCGCCGCCGCCGCCGCCGCCGCCCCCCATGAGATGTCTGGAGACTCTTGCGTCTTGCGGTGGGGATCAGGGGGGGACAAGGCCGGGAGGGCGCGAGTGTGTCTTTCCGGACGTGGGGTAAGAGGGGGGGATCGGCGGCGCTGGGACGGGGGACGGCCGTCGTGTGTCCCGGGACAGAGCTCCGCGGGGGGGAGCGCGCACATGCATCGCGAGTGAGAAGGAATTGCTGACCGCCTCGCCCGCGACGTACAGAAGAAGGGGAACAGCATGAGCGGCACCGAGATGCAGCGGGCCAAGGAGAGCGCCGCCGAAATCATGCGCCAGAAGCAGGCTGCTGGTGAGTCCCTGTTTCTTTTCTCTTCTGCTTTTTCGTCCTCCCCCTTATTTCATATCTCTCCTCCATCCTCCGTCCTCCTCGGCTCCCGGCCCGCCTACGGTCGTCGTGCCGCGTGGCTGGACTCGCAAGGGGCGTCAGTCCGATGCCGCAAGGTAGAATCATCCAAGGAGCAACGGCCAGGTGGTCTGAAGGTGTTTAAATGGGCGGGAACTGATGTGACGGGGCACCGTGATGACTGATGAGTGATGACTGATGATGATGATGATGAGAGCGTGAGATGCTGACGATGCGTGCGCAGCTGAGGCCAGAAAGGCAGCGGAAGGGGCAGGAGGCTCCAAAAAGAAATAGACGAGGGGGGAGGGGGGGGGGGGGGGGGGGGGGGGGGGCATCCTCTCCCTCGACAATCTCTTGTCTCCCTATCGTCTTCCTGACGGACCGCGGTCTCCCTCGTCGCTCGCGCCGTCGTTCCGCAACGCCACTCGGGCTCATGTGATGCCGCGCACCTTGCCTCGGTGGTCGGATGGACGTGAGCGTGATGAGTAAGCGATTGGTGGAGCGTCGGAGACTCGGACCACGGGGACGGCGTTGGGGCAAAGGGGGTGAGAGGAAGAGAGAAGAGGTAGAGAATCACAACAACAAAAAAACAAAAAAACAATAACGACAAGACGAACAATTCAGACGAGAGCGCTCTCCTTTTTTTTAAATCTTATTTTAATCTGTTACACTGCTATTGTTCAAGCGGCGGCAAGAAAGGTGCATGCGGCGCAGGAGGGAACAAATCCGGGGTCGGACAGCGTACTTTGTGTACTACATATACGCCTGACAGTTGACCAGAAGAAAACATGCCCAAAACACACACACTCACACAGACGGTAGGGGTAGGGGGGAGAAGAGGCTCATTCTGCTCCGGTTCGCTCGCTCGCTCTGCTTCCCTTTGCTTCAGACATGACCTCCCCAACTGGCATGTCGGTCACCATCAAGCCCCCGGTCCCGACGTGTTAGTCCAGGAGAGCGAGGCCGTTTAAGAATAGATAGACGGGAAGCCCGCGTGACGTATCCCCCCCGCCATCCTGTCAACGGACGCGATGGACCTCTCCGCGGCGGAACCCCAAGGCTAGACGACCAAGCCCCCCCCCCCCCCCCCCCCCCCGGCACCGATGGAATCCCCCCCGTCTCTCGTCTGATGGGTGACACAACCGTCCGGCGAACCGCCTCGGCCGAGCCGGTCGAGACAGGAACGCCCACCTGCCTGGAGACTGTGTATGACTCGGTCCGTCCCACCCCCGTTGCCTCGCCGGGCCTCCCCGCGAACACAGCACACCACGCCAGAGACGTTGACACACACTCACACGCACTCACACACACTCTCACAACCCGACGCGGGTACCCCCACCTCCATGACTTGGGCCCCCCTTTCGTCTTCTCTCCTTCAGATCCCACGCTGTCCTTGCCTGAACCAGGGGCACGACGCCTCGATCGGTCGATCAAACCGAGTTCGCGTGAACATGCCCTGTGTAACAGGAATCCAAATGCGTGTGTGTGGAACGGGGAGGGGGGGGGGGCGATTCTTTGCTATTCCTGGCCTCCCTGGGCCACATCGGTTCTGGCGCTCCATTCTGCTGCCAGGTCTAAAGTCATGCAGCACACGTTACACACACACACACACACGCATTCACATGCAAGACGGGAAATTGGCGACGGAACCGGGGTATGTGATCGTTCATCATCCATTTATTCCTATTAGGTGGTTGCGAAAAATCGGTCATGTTTTCCATCCAGGAAATACGAACCAGTTCATACTCTTGTAATTATCCCCTAAAAACCTTCTCAACCCCTCCAAGAGACGAGGGGGAGCGGGACTCGACCCCAAGCTGAGGTAAAGCCGGGAGAGGAGAGGGACAAGGAGGTTTCTATCATCCAGCCCACCCCAAGGCCATCCAGGCCGAAGGGGGTAAGGGCGGGCTGCGACTGTGATTTTCCCCAGCTCCTTTTCCCGTTTCCGCTGTATCGCCTCCGCAACCAAACAGAAATCTACATGATGAAAAAAAGAAAAAAGAGAGAAAAAAGAGAAAAGGTCGTGAGAGCCCCCCCGAGATGTGTGACGTGACAACTCCGGATGTGTGGTATCGTTCCCAGCGGAGTGGGTAAAAAACAGTAGTTCTTCCCGGATGCGACGAAAAGGAAGATGGGGGCGTTGGGGAAGAGGCGGGAAGGTCTTTTTACACAGCATACTGTTTCGACGAAACCCGTACCCTCATTTATGCCTCCATCATGTTCATGGGGAGAGAACCAGCCATGCCGCCGAAAGAGCCGACGCCCTGAGCGCCGACGGGGAACGAGCCGGCGGAGCAGGTGACGGCACACACGCAAGCACCGGCGCCGTTGATCTGGCCAGAGCCCTGCTGGATGTTGCCACCAGCGGCGGGTGCAGCAGGAGGGGCGGCAGCGGGAGCAGATTCGGCGGGAGGGGCGGCAGCGGGGGCAGACTCGGCGGGAGGGGCGGCAGGGGGAGTGCCTCCGGTGATGGGGCTAGCAGCGCCCTTGCCCTTCTGGGCGATGGCCATGGACTGGAACAGGGCCTGAGTCTTCGCGGCGGTGGGGTTGATGGAGAAGGTCATGCCCTTTCCGCAGTGGCCGTTCTGGGCGCAGTAGAACCCTGGTTTCGTGTTAGTCAGATGGCACGGACCGGGCGCATTCTCTCTCTCTCTCTCTCTCTCTCTCTCTCTCGCTGGACGACTTACACAGAGGGTCGGAAACCATGACTTGCATGGCGACCTGGGGAGGCGGGTTCACCGTGTTGTTGGGGTTAGGCATGAAACCAGAGTTCATGCCGCCGGCGAGGGGGTCGCAGGGCGTGGCGAAGGCGGACTGCGTGACGGTGTGGTTCTGGCTCATGAAGGTGAAGACAACCATGTCACCGACGTTGGCCTTGACCTGGTCGGGAGTGTAGACGAGACCAGCGGGGCCGCCAACGGTAACCTGGAGTGGGGGTCAGCAGGCTTTCCGGAGTCCAGCCGGGAAAGTCGACTTACGTGGTGAGTGGTCGCGCCAGCCGGGGGGGCAGTGCCGGAGGGAGGGGGGGCGGCACCAGCCGGAGGAGCGGCGACGCCGCCGGCGGGCTGGTTGATGTTGATCGTGGGAGCACCGGCACCGGGGTTCGCCCAGATGATGATGATCTCGGTAACCTGGGTGTTGGTGATACCGGCACCGCTAATGCCCATGGGGAGGCTGGCGAGGAGATCGGCGGCAGCCTTCGACTTGTGGCCGTCGCGGCGGACGGGGTAGTTGTTGTGGGCGGACTTGGCCGAGGCCAAGGCGGCGGCGGAGAGGGACAGTACGGCGGAGAACTTCATGTTGACGGCTGTTTCGGTTGTCGATTAGGGCGGTGACCTTTTGAATTGCCTTCTCTTTTTCCCTTTATTTTCAAATAGATTTACTTTGTTGCGAGACTACTAGAGTCTGGGCGATCGAAAGTCGACAGAGGAATAAACTGTTTAGTAAAGCTGGATGGCGTAAATGGCGAGGGCCTGCTCGTGATATAAAGTAGAGTAAACACGGAATCGGAAAAGGGAACGAAAGTCACACAAGGAATGAGTGAAGACACGAGGCGGATGAAGAAGAGATGAGGGGGAGAAACAGAAACCTTTTAGGAGTTGAGGGAAGGGGGGGATATGGAGAGCTTAAATCAAGCGAGACTCGCAAGCACAACGGAGCGCGAGCCATGTTACATTATCCGTTCGCCATCCATGTCCTGGGCCGGTGGACTCCAACTGGGCGAGTACCTACATGCATGTGTGTGTGCGTGTGTGTGTGCAAAGGCCTGTCCAGGGCATGGCATGGCATGGGACAGCCCCTTCCCGGCCACAACGTCGACCTCGACGAAACAGGACGAGGAAAATCTTCCGCCAGCCCGTCCTTGGACTAGGTAGAGGAGGGTCTGGAGGGCACTTCGCACCCCGGCCTGACCCGGCCAAGCGCAGCCAAGCAGCACCCCCTTAGGATCCTGGACGATAGACTGTTCTATAAGAAGGTTCTGCGGTGTGGTGAGTGGGAGACGGAGTCGAGAAGGGGGGGAGGTTCGTCGCTCGGGGACGCAGCGTCCGATTAAGCACGCGAAGCACAGGCCGACGGTGGTATTGCCATCCCAAGGCTGGGGCAAATAAAGAAAGAAAAAGCCAAGACGACATGTGGATGTACGGTGGCAGGGGTGTGCAGGGGTCAGGGTTGGGAAGAATATGAGGCAGGGGGTTTGGCGAAGGGATGAATGATGGGCTAAGGTAAGCACGAAGGCAACGCGGCTGCAGTGTAGTACGGTAGGGTCGATGATGCATGAGGAGCTTGGTGTACCACAGGGCAAGACTCATGCTTGGGATGGCCTTGTTTCCTCTCTCTCTAGGACTGACAAAGGTTGAAGTCTCTAGGCCAGCGGTAGCGAGTGGCCCGTCGAGGTGGCAGCAGTTCGGGCAGCAGGTAGGCCGGAGAGAGAGAGAGAGAGAGAGAGAGAGAGCAAGCACCAAGAGGTGGTAGAGGCGGGGAGGCTGCACCAGGAGGCGGGCGGGAGCTGTGACAGATTCGTCTCGAGTCGTGTTTTGGCATCTCGCTAAGTGGTCCCCTCCCCCTGGCCGCTCTTCCGAAGACGGTGGTTGGCTCGGACATCGAGCAGCGTCGAACCCAAGGGTTTTGCATGTTACGGTGGCTAAGGAGGCCTCTCGGTCATTGAAGAGGGAAGGATTGAAGCGGGAAGACGGCATGCCATTTGGAACAGAGGATTCGGCTCCGGTTTGCGCATGTCTCGCTGGAGTTGAGAGGTTGTCGTGGATGGGATGAAAGGGAGAGAAGAGAAGGGGAAGAAAAAAAAGAAAAAAAAAAAGCCGTTGGGGTTGTGGGTGGGTGGGTGCAAACTGCACGTCAGTCTACACGAGGTACTTAGGTACTTCCACCGCTTTGGGTAAGTACGCACCAGTGCCTGCCTCACTTCGCTTACTACCTGTATTCCGCGATATTGGTAGATAGATGTATCCGTACTATGTATACGTATCTATCCGTACATCGTCGACCGATAGACTAATCCCCTCCCGACGGATCTCTTAGCGACCCTTATGCCCAAAATGAGGGTATCAAAGAATGCCCATACTTCTTCTCCGTGGTAAGTTGATCAATCAAACTCTTCCCGCCAACCGCCATCTTGGGAAAAGGGGTGGACGGTGCTAAACCTTAATACGGCCAATTAAGGTGGTCGAACCTCCCCCCCTGACAGGACACGTTAAACGAGTTTGGGCTAGCTGCCGAAGCGACGGGATGAGCGTCCACCCTTTCTTCCTCTTTTCATAATCATTTCCCACTCTTCTGCACCGTTTGGGCCACATCCGTTCCTGCAGGTACCCAGACTGGATACAACTCTACTTTCAACCTTACTCGCCGGCGCCAGAAAGATACGTCTCTCTTTTAGGTCGTACACCACCTAACCTGCCCAGCGTGTACTACCGGTAGGTATGGTGCGATGGGTAAAAACTCCCTGACAAGTAAGTAGTGTGGAGTTGTGTGGAATTCTGACCCTTGAATATTGAGACTCTTATTGGCTAGATTTATGCAGGATATGCACAATAACCTCAAAGTGTCTATGTACTGCTGACATAATCGAAAAAAGTCCGGTCACATTTACCTGATGAGGGTGTCAAACTTTGGCTTGATACCGCAGTAGGAGGAGGTTCGGACTACTTGGTACACGTAGAGAATGAGGAAAAGAGGCGAAGACGAGACGAGACGAGACGAGACACTGCATTCAACGGTACACATATCCATTCTCCATTTCCAACGGCTTACAGGCCAGAACACAAATCATCCAACCTCCTCCTCGTCTAGACGGTGACAGACCAATTCCCAGCACGTGCGCCGCCTGTCACAGAAGAGCAAAACTAACGGCGCCTGCCTCCGTCTCAGTCCTGCGTCGGGGCCTCTACACACACCCATCTTCCTTTTTCCCACCTCGGATTCCGGCTTCTCTTACCCCGTCACCCAGCCAGTCAGCCAGTCCCAAAGGTTACTGAACCCGGCATCGGCACGGCTAGCAAGGCATCGCATCGCAGCGCACCCACGACTCAACCCGGGCCCAACCTGCCAAAGCACCTTGATGCTGGGCGTGCAGTCGCCTCAAACAAGCCTACCTGGACGGTGAAACAGGCCCGCCCTGAGTCCTTCGCCTCCCCTTCCACACACACACACACACTCTCTCTCTCTCCCCCCCCTCTTGCGCGCCCGCCGGCTTCCACCTCGCTTTGGTCGCAATCACGGCCGACTCTCTTCCCGGCCCACCTTACCAAGAAGTCCCAAGAGTCGCAGAGCTGACGAGAATGTGGCAGTGGCAGCGGCAGCGGCCAACCCGAGCCCGTCCCATCCAAACTCGACTCGCTCGCTCTCTCACACCCTCAACCACAGGTCGATTCAATGTCACCCCTCATCCAGACCCTTTTTCATCTTATTTTGTTTTTATAAATAATATTTTACTTTTTACTGGCATAACTTTGCCCGTCTGTCCGCCTACTGTCAGCAGCCACACCACTGCGACCGCAACTCTGTCCGTCCCATCACATCCCGGCCCCCTCCTTGTGGATCCATGCGCCCTGCCTACCCGTCTGCGCTCGCTTCCAGCATGATGCTTCAACCCGGCCAGCAGGCCACCCGCTGATCATCCTAATGCCGGGGTGGCCCAAAAACAACAAAGAAACCAAGGGAGAACCAAGCATCTGTGAATAAAAATAAAAAATGATGAAAGGAAACTCCAAGATCCGGCCATCACACGGTACGCGGCAGAGCCCAAGTGTCGTCGGCTAGTCTTCCTTCCAGCACCGCCATCACTCACGCTCCGCCACCCCGGGCCCGGGTCACGGAGGACTAGTTGCGAAAGAGCCTGGCCTCGGCATCGAAGCTTCGGCTTCCCGCCCAGCCCAACTCTATTCCCAAGCCCCGTTCCCCGCCATCTGTGGCTAATCATGTCGACGATGATGTCGCCTGATCAGAGAGAGTATCTCCATGCCCTTTCGTGCACCACCGGTGATGGGCCGCTTCAAGAAAGAATACCTTCTCTGAGAGGGGGGAAGCACCAACGCCGTGGGTGTCGCAGTTTTTGTCGGACATCAATACATCCATCATCCGTCGAGAAACATTCACATTGCAGGAGTGCGCCAAACGATCGTCAAATGCACGCCCGAAAACGGGGCCTGGAATTGTCCGCAGCCGCTGATCGATCGCCTGCAACTCCACGTTTTTCTTCTATCGCAATGCCTCGCAGCTTGTTTCCGATCAATGCTCCTCCGAGAATTGGGAAAGGAGAGAAATGAAAGAAAACAACGACCAGAAACCCCCGTCTTCACTAAGCACCCCCGGCCTCATCACTAGGCCGGTGTCATCTCTTCTGAGCCGGACGAGCCGGATGTGCCGTTGCCTTGTCAGGTCTTGGCTCCCCATGTTTATGTCTAGGTACGGCCTCAAAGACTCGTGGCCTCATCCTGCCCTTCATTTCCCGGGGTTACAGTAGAAGCGCAGTGAAAGCCCGATTTTGTGTGCATGTCAAGAGAAACGAAGGAGTAAAAAAAAAACTAAAAAAAACTGCCGGGGTGCACACCTCAAGAGAAACAACCAAGCCCTAGACCCGGTCCGGCGGTGAAACAAAACGCCCTCTTGGGCAGCGGTTGTGGATAAAAAAAAGGCGCGCTAAATTATTATGAAATTGTCTGTCGCCGGCCACGAGGTTGCATTTGGGCCCCACGTTCCCCCCAACCGTACTTCAATTTCCTCCCTCCAAGGCTGGTGCGCAAGAGGGACGACGGACAGCACGGCAAGGCCAGAGTGGTGGTGTTGTAAGATTCGTTAGCTGCCACTGGCGTTCGTGTGACACATGCCACGGCCAACCTCAGACAAGGAACCGTGTGGCGCCGTTGCATCATCGGACGATGGAACGGATCTTGTCACAGAACTCGCCCTTCCGCGTGCCGATCAGATAGGCTCTCTCATAGCCGCCCCTCAAGACCGTCAACCTCACCCCATTCCCCACACAGCTTCTTGCTTTCCAGTCGCAGGCCCCCCCAGGATGCCGCTCAGCCCCGTTCTTCCGGATCCTCGGAGCCTGTCTACCTACTTGGATTGTTGCTGCTGCTGGCCTTCGTACAGTCCAGTGTAGTATCCGGCGTAGTACCACGACATCAAGAGTCTTTTCAGGCCCTCGTCTTGTACTGCAAGCTCCATGGTCAGTCTCGGCTTCTTCCATCCTTCCATCCAGGAGGGAGAGAGGGCGGCCGCTGTCATTCCAACCAACATTCAATCGACCGCCGGGAGCGTCTGCATACCTGTGCCGAGGAGGCTTTGCGGGCCTGTTGTCGCAGGACCTGGGATTGCCTCAGCGGTAGCCACGCCGCTTGGGTTTGTTTGAACCTGGGAGCGAGCAGGGGACAAGTTAGTGGGCGTGAACAGAACGCATGAATGAAAAAAGCCAAGCTTTTTCTGATCTGCCTGGATTTTCACCTGGGGCGGAGAGGAGGATGGGGCAATGGGTTGTTTTACATCCGTGCTGCTGCAAGCCGCCCCCTTTGTTTTGTTGCCTCCCTCATCGTCGTCCACGATCTCTGGCTGATCGGCCGCCTTCGTTTGCGCGTCGATGGTCCTGCGGCGATCATGACATGTCAGAGGTTTTTTTTTTTTCTCCCCCTTCTAGGGATGGTTTCCGCGATGCTCAAGGGGTAGGGCTAGCCGTACTGGGGCTCTGTTTCCCACTGGAGATCACCGTCTTCGAGCTTGCCTCCTTTGGCGTGGATGCTGTGATATTTCTGCCAGGACCATCAGCTACTGCTCACAACATAACCGTCGCCCATTCTGAGAGGTGGAGGGGGATCACTCACTTTGTACTCGTCCAGCGCCTCATTCCATGAATTTATGAGGGCGGAGTCATCCCACATCTCAGCATGCGTCATTTCGATATGATTGTCAGCCATATTGATGAGCTCGATCCTCCGTGTCTGAGAGACCCGGTCCTGGTCTGTTGTTGACAGAAAAATATCTGAGCACCGATTACGACGCCTGCTGAGAACCTCAGACTGTCGAAAGCAGAAGCACTGAAGCAACGGGGGAATAGCGCAGTAGGCTGTGAGACCAGGAAGCGTCTATCAGGGCCCAAGGGCTGTGGGGAGAGAGGTTCTCCCAAGTAGCCGTTCGTGAATCCGTCTGCTAATAAATGACCGATTGTGGCCGGCTCTATTCTGTTATGGGACCTGAAATTCCGACCAGCTCCGGGTTCGTTGCGCTGAGTGTTGTTGGGATCGTTGTGGTTCCGGGATCGGTAAGTGTGAGATGGCTGTCTTCTGAGCCTGGGGCTGGGACCAGACAGCGCTGACTGCGGAATGAGATTCACGGTTCTTGTCGTTGTCGGTTCATCAGCTTGAGGCTTCGCGGTTCTTGCTAGAAAAAGTAGGCATCGACAGCTTCAACATGGGAAGTGCGGCTCATAGGTGAGCCTCTATAGTCGATAGCAGCCGCTTCACAATTAAGGTTAGCGCCGGTGATGGCCCTCTCGCTTTTTTCAGCACCGATGCCCCCCGCTAAAAAGTCGCTAGCCTGGGCGGTTGCGAGCAGCGCGTTAGCGGGGCTCCAACCTCACCGCCTCAGTGTCGCGGCGGCAGAATCTAGGAAATTTTTAGTTTTTTTGCTTTCGCGCCTGTACTCGGTCGTGTGTGGAGACCACTGCTTTTCCAGGGACCGACAACAATTACCAGAGCAAAATCGCAAAAATGGCCCCCGAATTGAGACCAAGAACCAGATGTAAGTTTGGTCTATCCTGCGTGAATGTTGTGCAAGTAACTAATTGTCTCCAACAGCGGCGACGGCTGCGGCCGGGAAGCAGACCGCGGAGAAGACGACCGAGGTCGAGAAGGTCGAACCCAAGAAGGTGACCAAGAAGACGACCAGGAAGACGGCCAAGGTCGAGGATGTCGAGAAGGCCGATAAGGTTGAGGAGGCCGAGAAGGTCGAGGAGACCGAGAAGGTCGAGAAGGTCGAACCCAAGAAGGTGACCAAGAAGACGACCAAGAAGACAACCAAGAAGACGGCCAAGGCCGAGGAGGTTGAGAAGGCCGAGAAGGTCGAGGAGGCCAAGGAGGTCGAGGAGGCCAAGGAGGTCGAGGAGGCCAAGGAGGTCGAGGAGGCCAAGGAGGTCGAGGAGGCCGAGAAGGTCGAGAAGGTCGAGAAGGCCGAGAAGGCCGAGAAGATTGAGAAGGTCGAGAAGGTCGAGAAGGCCACCAAGCGTAAAGGTATGCTTAGATATAATGTCACATGTGCGCATCGGCTGACGAGCGGCGTATGCAGCTCCCGAGGAGGCTCAGGCATCCCCTGTCGCCGCGAAGAAGCAGAAGTCTGCCAAGGCGAACGCCAAGTCGAAGAAGTCGAAACCCGAACCCGTCAAGGAGGCCGAGCCCGAGGCCACCGAAGTCGTCGAGGCCGCCGAGGTCGCTGAGGAGTCTGTCGTTGCTCTGGACGACGGCGGCAATTCGGACGAGGTTGACGCCGACATCCAGGCGCTCGCTGCTGGCCTCGACTCGGACGCCGAGAAGGCGCCCGCGGGCAACGGAACCTTCAAGGAGGGCATGGACGTTGGCAAGGTCCCGAAGCACGCCAAGAAGCAGAAGCAGTTGACGAACGGCAAGAAGGAGGAGCCCGGCGTCGTCTTTATCTCGAGGCTGCCCCACGGTTTCTACGAGCACGAGCTGAAGGGTTACTTTTCACAATTCGGCCCCATCAACCGCCTGAGGCTGGCGCGCAACAAGAAGACGGGCGCCAGCAAGCATTACGCCTTCATCGAGTTCGCCGAGGAGAGCACGGCCGAAGTCGTCTGCAAGACCATGGACAACTACCTCCTGTTCGGCCACATCCTCAAGGTCAAGACCGTCCCCCTTGACCAGCTGCACGCGGACGTCTGGAAGGGCGCCAACAAGCGCTTCAAGAAGATCCCGTGGTCCAAGATCGCCGCCGGCGAGGTCGCGAAGCCCCGGACGGAGTCGGGCTGGACCCACAAGGTGTCCAAGGAGGAGAAGAAGAGGCTGGAGCGCGCCCAGAAGCTTAAGGAGATCGGGTACGAGTTCACGGCTCCCAAGCTGAAGGAGGCCGTCGCGCCGCCGCCGGAGCCGATGGAGGTCGACGCCCCCGAGGAGCCCAAGGCGATCGAGGCCGCGGCGCTCGAGGAGGAGAAGCCCGCGGAGGAGCTTGCCGTGGAGGAGGTCGCAGCGGTTGAGACGCCCAAGTCGGCCAAAGGCAAGGCGAAGAAGGGGGGCCGGAGAAAGACCAAGGCTTAGAGGCTCTTTAATAATATCCCCTCGTTACGAAGTGTTTTTTCTTCCTTCTGTCTATCTGACCATTTATCAAAAAAAGTATTGTTCTTCATAGGGTATGCTACTGCGTTTCGTCGTTCGGGAGTACAGTTAGATCAAAAACATGGACATATATGTGTACATCTACATAGGTAGCATCAGGGATGAGAGCATGTACGCGCATAGCGAACCCGTCGCACCCATCTGAAATTCATGAGAATTTGGGCAAGCACCGGGATTATAAAAGGCGGATATCGGTCTGCTTCAGCGTCAAAAACGAACAAGTCAATGGAAGATGCGCTTGTTCGAGTGATATTTCAGCGAAGGGTAAAATATGTGAAGAAGAAAGGAAGAAAGGGAAAAATTTCCAGACAGAGCAGACCCTTCTTGATGGGGTCGTCGCTCGATAAGATAAGGGTGACTAATCCCGCCGGACCCGCCGCCCGGCCGAGGTTTGCGCCAGTTGGCAGCATACGCAGCGCGGCACACCTTACCTTGCATCCCGTACTGCGCCGTGGGGATGCATGTCGTATACAGGTAGGTTAGGTACCTTAGGTACTTTGGTATGCCTCTGTCATGTCATGCAGCTCGTATAGGGTCATCCGACGACCCAAGAGACGATGACAGATGGGGATCACACGGAATTGCCGATCATCGTATTGGCTGACTATTGTTGATTATTTCTACCGTGGCTCGTGTTAGTCAGTAGACCAGCCGTCCAAGCCGCCGTTTCACATGGTGATTCTATGCTTCGAACACCGTAATAGCTCATGCCCGGGACTGCTTACTACTCCCTCGGTATGACCTGGGATCACCATCAGTCAGGGTAAAACAACCAAAGATCGTTTAGGGAATCAATTCTTTGACAGCCTGAGTTCAAAGAGTGCTGTTGACCCGTGGCACTCGCGCACTCGCACACTCAGCGGTAAAGGGTTATAGCGGGTGCATCCCAGCTTATCGCTATCGGCGGCATGCTTTGTGGGCCCCCTCGACCAGTGTGGGGGGACCCGGAGGACCTACACCTCCCGCGTGGCAAGTGAACACGCTCGCTAATTTGCGACCTATAGCTTACGTGGTGTAAGTACATACACACCCGCCAGCTGCAAACTGTCGACATTTCGCAGCCCTCCCCTAACGACCGACCCTTCAAGAAAGTAGAGCTTCCTGTCCGCGCCCACCAGCTCAAAGGGCTATACCCCACCTCCCGATGCATCTGAGAAGTCATCATGTCGGCCGCCGCTCCCTCTACTGATCCGGTCCAAAACGCATCTTCAGGTTCGTCGATTGGTTCCCGTCCTCGCCCAAAATGATGCGATGGAATGGGCTAACACGGATGGTCACCACCTGTAGGGAAGAAGAAGGGCGGCAAGAAGAAGAAGAATAATGCGAACAACCCCAAAGAACCCATAGAGACGAATAGCGTAGACCCCCAGCCCGAGGATGCTGAGGATGGCGATGATGAACCGGAAGCCCCGGTGCAGGTGGCACTCCCTTGATCCCTCCCCTGCCATCTCCACTGAACAGGTGTCTAATCATATATACCATCGCAGGCCTCTACACACACAGAAGAAGCCGGGCCCGACGAGCCAGCCGACAAAGACACGACGGCCAATGGCCACATCGAGCGACCGACCAGCAATGGACACGCGAACCCCCCGATAGAGAAGGCGGCCCGGGAAGAGGACCAGCCAGCCAGCTCCGACGCTACGGCAAAGCTGGACGCGCTGACAAAGGAACGAGAGGCGCTGCGGTCAGAGGTCGAGCAACTGCGGAAGCAGTTGGAGACCATCCAGGAGACGCACAGTGAGACCGTCACGCAGCTCAAGTCGGAACTGGAGGAGACGTCGACAGCCAAGGAGCAAGCGGAGGAGAGTTACCAGGCACTCCTCGAGCGCGTCAACCACCTCAAGTCGACGCTCGGCGAGCGGCTCAAGCGCGACCGCGCCGAGCTGGAAGAGGCCAAGGAGCGCATCGAGGAGCTCGAGTCGCAAAACGAAGAGCTGCAGAATGACGCCAAGGCATCGCAAGAGGAGGTGGCCAAGCTCAAGGGGGAGCTCCAGGACACGTCACGCGAGGCGACGAGCCTGCGCAGCCGCAGCAACCTGTCCCAGCAGAACTGGGTCAAGGAGCGCGAGGAGCTGATGAGGCTCGTGGCCAGCCTCAAGGAGGAGGTGGAGACGACGACCAACGCCATGGGCGAGTGGGAGGTGATCGCCATGGAGGAGCGCTCCGTCAAGGAGAGCCTGGCCGAGAAGGTGTCGGAGCTGGAGGAGCAGGTCGCCAACCTCCGGGACGGCTACGAGAGCGCCGCGGCCGAGCGGGACAACCAGTCGCACGTCATCGACAACTTGCAAAAGGCCCTGCGCGAGATCCAGGACGCGCGCAAGCGGGAGCTGCGCGAGATGGTCGAGACATCGGAGGAGCAGCTCCAGGCGATGAAGAAGCTCGTGCACGAGGCGGATTCCCGGGCCACCGAGGCCGAGGCGGCCAAGGAAAACCTCACCAAGGAGCTCGAGCGGACGGCGCCGTTCGAGAAGGAGGTCAAGGAGAAGAACCTCCTGATTGGCAAGCTACGGCACGAGGCAATCGTGCTCAACGACCACCTCACCAAGGCCCTCCGGTACTTGAAGAAGACGAAGCCCGAGGACAACGTCGACAGGTGCGGCCTTCCCCCTCCCCCTTTTCCTGGTACTCTTTGTTATTTTATTCTTGCCACGTAGACCCCGCCCCGCTAACTTTTCCTTTCTCTCTCTCTCCACACAGACAAGTCGTAACGAACCACCTCATCCACTTCCTCATGCTGGACCGCTCTGATCCGAAGCGGTTCCAGATCCTGCAAGTCATGGCCGGCTACCTCAACTGGACTGACGAGCAGCGCGAGCAGGCGGGCCTCGCCCGGCCCGGCGCGTCCAGCAACCTGCGCCTCCCGCCCTCGCCCTTCCACCGCACACCCAGCACGCCTTCGCTGAGCGCCGAGTTCTTCTCCGAGACGCCCACGTCGGCCAACAAGGAGTCCCTTGCGGACCTGTGGGCGGGCTTCCTCGAGCGCAGCGCCGAGGAGGGGCTCGACTCGGCCATCGTCGGCGGCGGCGGCGCCACCCCGCGCGACCGCAAGGACAGCGGCAGCAGCGCGGCGACGGGCGCGACGAGGCCCGACACCCGGGGCGGCGGATAGTGGAGGCCGTCGTGGTACGGTGCGGCGGTGCCGTCGTCTAACCAGTGAGCACTCTCCACGGGTCTTCACGGCGGGGAGGGGCGGGACCGGTGGTCACAAGGGAGGAAGGGAGGGAGGCAGGGGGAAGAGGCAGAGCCTCGAGAGGGTTTGGGTATACCAGAGCTTTCCATGACTTCTCATACACTCTTCCTAACACACACACACACGCACACAGAAAGAAAAAAAAAGACGTATGTTCATACCAACATAAAAAAAACCTGCTCTGGCGTTCGGTGAAAGTGAGACATAGGCACGCGGGGGAGGACAAGAGGGCAATTATCAGGCGCGCCGAGAGCGGCCAGTATTATTCAACGGCCGCCTCTTTTCGTCTTTTTCCTTTCTTTTCTTTTTTTTTTTCTTTCTCTACCGGTAAGAAAAGGGGAGGGGGTGATGGGGTTAGCACCCACCGCCCCCTTGAGTTATAGATGTTAAGAACAGGCGGGGGCCGGGACTCGAAGAGTTGTACGATTGGAGTCGGGAGGGAGGGAGCGCGAAACGTGTTGGACGGACGGACGGTCGGACGGTTGATCAAAGGGATACCATTACACTTATGGTGGACGGATTTCACCATCAGCCCAGAGAGGCGTGTTTTAAAGCAAACAAGAAAGAAAGAAAGGGGAGGGGAAAAAAACGTAGTTTTCACTTCCGGGTCGTCGTGGCGCGTTTATTTATATATACCCCCCCCCGCCGCCCCCCTTTGTGACTTTCTCGGAGAGTCTACCCTCTCCGGACGGCCACGCGGCTCGGCCAGCAGAGGTCCTAACTGTACATACTCTGCTTTCCGGGACCCAAGGAAAGTAAGTGGGTGATGCTTCGAACCTCTTCTCTACACATGCATGCATCTGTTCCATCGACAAACACTCGCACACGCACACACACACACCCAGTCTACTGCGCCTGGGCCATCCCCTCGGGCAGCTTAAAGACCCCCTCGGTGTACATCTCCGCGTCGGCCGTGACTTGGCGGATGTTGATGCGGTTCTCGAGGGCGTCGTTGACACTCTCGACGACCTCGCGCTCCTCCATGGCCTCGCGCACCATCTGGCCCTCGCGCAGCCAGTAGGCCTGGCTCCGGGCGCGCAGCTCCTCGTCGCGGAGGGCGGTGTTCTTGACGATGCCCAGCGCGCTGAGCTTGCTCTTGACCGTCGTCAGCGCGCGGTTGCCGGCCTCGATGCGCTCGGCGTCCGAGGGCGGCAGCACAAAGGCGCGGCGGGTGGCGCTCAGGAACAGCAGCGCGCCGATGCCGGCGTCGAGGGCGGCCAGGCCGACGAGGCGCAGCGCGCGGGTCTTCCAGTAGAAGAAGTCAAGGTCCTGGAGGCGCGTGGCCGTCGAGTTGGCCGAGTAGTCGTACGAGTTGACGAGGCAGGCGTCGGCGAAGGCGAGGGCGGCGGCGGCCATGGTCGCGTGGGGCCGCCAGCGCGCGCCGTCGCGGCCGGTGACGGCGGAGGAGGTGACGGCGGCGAGGATGATGAGGTTGACGAGGTGCGGGAGGATGATGGCGGGCAGGGCGTAGTAGAAGTACGACTTTGGGTCCTCGGACTTGCAGAAGGGGCAGTCGGCGAGGGCGTCCGGACCGAGGTGGAGGTACAGCAGGCGGGACTCGAGGTTGACGAAGCGAGCGCGGAGGCGCTCGTCGGCGGCCGACAGCAGGCCTTCGGGCCGGAGGGAGGAGAGGCGGTTGAAGAGCACGTCGACGGGGATCTGCAGGCGAGACTGCGTGAGGGCGAAGACGTTCTCGGGCGCGAACGGCGGCAACGACTTGGCGAGGTAGACGAGGACAACGCCCGTCAGGATGGCCAGCGCGCGGGCGACGGGGGCCGAAGGGGCGATGGGCTGTGCGCTATGGCGGGAGGCATCGCGAATGGATTTGTAGGCGGAGATGACTTTCGGGAGGAGGATGGGGCCGAAGACGAGGAGCAGAGATCGAATCCTGGCGCGCCGTTAGCCTCGTCAACGTGATTGTGTGCGTGTGGTTTGCTTTGTGGTGGTGGTGGTGGTGGTGGTGGTGGTGATGGTGATGTTGGGTCCGGGCGATGATGTAGTTGGGGTAGCAGGGGGACATGTGGCTACTACTTACTCTGCCCAGCCAAAGGCCATGATGGGCGACGACGACGACAACGACAACGACACGCAGGTCGTGCACGGGGACAGGGTGTTTCGTAAGGGAAGCAAGCCTCAAAAAGCAGCCGGTCGTCCTCGAGCTTGCGCGTCCACAAGGCCTGACAAACTGGCCTTTATTTTTATCTTCCTTTTTTTTTCTCCCTAAGTCTTCCGGGAGGTCAGCGCGTAAGGCTAGTTACCTACGGATAGTGTAGGACACGACGCAGAAGATGGGTTGAGTTTCCCGCCAAGAAGCTTGAATGCGGCTTACCTAAGGTGACATCCTGCCCGGGCGACTAAGTTAGGAGCTGCTCCCGGCGCAGGGGTATGCTGGCTAGGAATGACGGCACAATGATGTACCTCCCTGCAGGTACTGGAGGGGGGGGCCGGAGCTTCTTTCTCTATTTATTTTTATTTTCTTTCATTTGTTATCATTTCAACCTTTGCGACAGCAGCCGGCAGACAGAACTTTGTAGGTCATCACCGGCATTTCATTGGCGCACCGCGCTAAGCATAACGATTACGGATTATGCTACTGCTCCTTGGTAGACTAACGTACATCCAAGCCAGTCATCCATCGTCGCTTCTTGCAGTGCTTTTCTTCTCTGAATTCCCCCCATCTCTGTCTCTGTCTCTTCTCTGTATTGTACTGATGTCGAGAGGCCGTCAAAATCTCGCCTTGTTTTTTGTTCTTGTGTTTTTTTTTGCCCGTCGCAGCTCCGAGTTGGTCGTGACCGGCGCCATGCTTCCACTCCGAAATCCGCGAAACAAAAGTACTTTTTGGTTTTGTGGTATATCCCAACGCCGCCTGATGAGTGATGAAGAAAGAAGAAAAAAGAAGTGTCAAAACTGTAAAAACCCCAGGAATCCCTCGCAAGAAAAGAAGAGGAAAAAATAAAAATAAAAAGATAAAACAAAGCAAACCACGGGGCAAACTATGCTGCTGATGATGGTCGACGGGTTTGCTGATGAAAATGCTGCTGCGCCTTCCCCTGAAACCAAGAGCGCAGTCTGTTGCGTGCAAACATATCAAAGCTTGCGCCCAAACATAAAGGACCCGTACATGCCGCCGACCTCGGCGCGCGCAACAGGGATCTTGCGCATTCCCCAGTTGTCGGCGCCCATCTTCCACCATCGGTAGCCGCGGTCCTGGCCCTTGCTGTGGTCCTGTAGTCGGACCATCCAGCATCGGCTTCCGATCTCCTGCAGGGACCAGCCGATGCGCTCCAGCGCCCTGTTCCGAGACAGGCTCTTGAATGACTGCTCCGAGATCTCCACCACCTCGAGTGGCATCGAGCTCGGCCTCAGCAGCGAGTTTCGGCTCGAGAAGAGATCGACAATGTCCAGCTCGTTGCCCCAGAGGTCCGACAGGTCGAGGTACCGCAACGTGTGGGGCTCCTCCGCCTGCTCCTCCTCCCCCTTCTTCTCGTCGGCCGGCTCGAGCAGCTTGGCGGCGGCATTGACATCCAGGCCACGCCCGACGGCAAGCTCGTCGAGGAACTTTGTCAAGGGCCGCAGAAGCGCAATGTGCTCCTCGTCCATGCGGCTGCCCTTCAGGCTCAGCGACTTGAGCGTCTTGGGCAGCACGGGGATGAGCTGCGAGACGTCATCCGCATCCAAGAGCTGGTGGCTCCGAGCGTCCGTGGCCACGCTCAAGTAGACCAGGTTCCTGACCGCCGGGTGAGTGGCGAGGAAGTTGATGACGTTGGGCGCCGTGAGCAGCGTGCACTTGGCAATGTTCAAGTGCGTGATCTTGGCCGTCTTCGGGATGGACTGCAACGCTCGGTCCGTGATCTTGGTCTGGGCAAGGTCCAGGTGCGTGACGCCGGCCAGGCGCGGCAGCATCTCCTCGAACAGCGCCGAAGGCAGCGTCAGGCACTTGTGGAACGACAGGCGCGTGATGGAGAGCATCTCGGGCCAGTCCATGGCCACGAGGGACGTGAAGGCGTTCTTGAACACGAGCGACGTGCACCCGGCAAAGTCCAACGCCCGCAGCCGGGGCATGTCGAAGAAGAGCTTCTGCAGCACCTCGACGCCGAGGTCGTCGTCGATATGCTCCATGGCCAGGAACTCTTGGAGGTGCGGCGTCAGCTCCAAGCACTGCACCAACGTCTCGGCCGTCAGGTTCCGGGTGCCCTTGCGCTCGCTGACGGACGCGAACAGGGTCGCGTTGTTGAAGTGGCTGAAGTCGATGCGCCGCACGATGGTGCCCAAGGCGGGGTGCGTCGTGATGTTGGAAAGAAACTTGCGGAAGATCCTCGAGTGAGGGATGGTGATGTGCTTGTACAGGGTGTTCAGGGTCGCGGCATGGATCGTCCTGGAGGTAAGCAGGAGAGACATCAGGTCGACGTTGCGGCGCGCGGTGCCGTACGGCGGGGGGATGTCGAGAACCAGCAGCTCGATAATAGATCCTATACCCGAGTCAGTCAGACGGCCGGCCCTTGTTGAGTCTACAACAAATAGGTAGGCAGCAACGGCAACTCACCGAGTATCTCGAGGGGGAGACTCTCCATGGGCGCACGGCCGTTGCCGCGCTCGTTCTTGCTCTTGGGAGACGGCGAGGGAGTGCTCCATGCCAGGTGCAAGGCCTGGAGGTCGCTGAAGCTCCTGCTCGCCGTCTTGCCCCTGACGTTGATTTGCTTCCAGCCTTTGAAGCTGGAGGCCGGGTACCAGCCGCCATGAAGCCTGCTGCTGGGCAGGGTGACGGGTGGCATGAACTGGACTTCGCCCATCTCGAGGGAAGGAGAGGCAACAGGCGAGGGGGAGTCTTCGAAGACGGCAGAGGTTATTTTCTCGGCGTAGGAAGAGACCTTGGAGGAGGTGAAGGTCTGGGCTAGGTCCGAGTCGTTTTCGCGGATGGATGAGAAGGAGGACCTGCCATTCTTTTCTGGGGTCGCAGGTCGGTGCGGCTCCGGGCTGTCCATTTTGTATTCGGTCAGAGTGTGAGATTGGTTGTGGCCTGTCGGAGCAGCTCCTGGGGGGGTGTGGTTCTGGGACGACGAGGTCTGCGATTGCAGAGGTCGCGAAGCTGCCATGGCTGCGGGAACTCTACTTTGACCTCAAAGGTCCGCGGGCCGCTGCGCTTGCTGTTTCAATTGTTTGTGCGACACACAAAAAAAGTAGACGCGCGCGCGCGCACACACACACACACATACACACGCACACACGTTTGTCCCTCTTATTGTTTGTCTAGCCCTGAGCAGGCGGGAGGAACAGGATAAGTGAGGGTATGTAGGTACGGGTAGGTGTACCAAGCGGTAATGGAATGGGCAATGCGCAGAAGTAGGAGCTAGCTGTATGAGTTGGGAAGAAGACAAGCAGCAAAGGCCGGGGTCCGATAGCGTCAACAGAGCAAAGCCAGAAGAGGCTTTTTCTATTAGTCAAAGACCGGGGCTTTTAGGTAAGAGGAAATTGTGGTGATGCGGGGAAGATGGTGGTTTGGCGTGTTCAGGTGGTCCAGCCTCAATCAATTTGTGATGTTACTAGACCGAGACGAGCAGCTTGGGGGAGACGATTCGAGACGGGGGAGGAGGAGGGTGTGCGTGGCACAAGACAAGACGTGCTCTTCGCAATCGTTGAGGTGATATACCAGGTCTGTCGGAAGAGGGAGGGGGGAGAACTGGAGAGGATTGCCAAGTAGACGGACTGGGCGTGAGACTGGAAAGACCAGGGGCGAAAAAAGTAGAAATATAAGTGTGACGAAGGAGGGGAGCGACGACGGCGACGACGACGACGACGACGACGACGGATCGCGACTGGGCTGGCCGATGGTGGTGATGGTGATGGGACTGACGACTGGGAGTGTATGGCAAGAGGCAGGCAATTGTGGGCGATCGTTATGCGCGTTAGCAGCCGGGCGCGTGTATGTATCTGTATGTATGAGCGCGCTGGCCGCAGATTATTATAGCAAGCAGAAGAGGCAAAGAGTTACTCTTGGCCAAAAATTGGGTAATGGAAACAAAGGAATGGAGACTTGGCTCGTCACATGAGCGTCCAGAGCTTCATCCATGATGGAGGCGGGGCCTGGTCAGTCCCAGGACATGACACGGGTGGTGTACACTATACATACGGTACGCCAGACCAGGCCAAGACCACCACCGCCACGCCCCCCAGGTGACATGCCTCTCTCGTGCTCACGGACGGGAGACGGCGTTTGCAAATGATTCCGTTGTCTAACACCCCCTGGATGGATGGGATCGGGGTCAGGGTCGGGGTCGGGGTCTAGGTTCAGGGACAAACTCTACGTTGGAGGGATGATGGGATGGGATGGGATGCCAGATGGGCGAGCCGCCACAGGAGAAAGAAGGTGCTGGCAACGCACGAAGCAGGCCGGCAAGCAAGCTGCCATTGGACGGGGGTTTCGTAATAGAAATGGCCTGTGTGCCTGTGTGTGTGTGTGTCTGTCTGTTTGCGTGTGTGTAGAGTCTGGGGCCAGCCGCCGATGAGCAAAGAAGCACGGCATCATCATGGCTGAGGTTCGCTCGATGATTGAACCACGGCCGCGCGGAATGTGTCAAGGAATGTCCATCTTCCGCCACTGCTTGTCCGAAGTTCGCCGGACAGGCCGTAACACCTGACCGAGTATAGTGTATATACTATGTAGATAGTGTGCGGTCATGGTCATCCTCGCCAATGCTGGCGGGGGGAGAGGCCGTGCGTCGGCAACGGAAAATCATGCCAAGTGCAGATGATGACGAGCAACCAAAAGGCCATGCATGCTATACCTAGGAGCATGCCACAATACAACAGATGGATCGCTTGTCAGAAAAGAAAAGAAAAGAAAAGAAAAAATAAGGAAAAAAAAGACTGGGGAGGTAGACTTAGGGCCAAGTCCAAGTCCAAGTCCAAGGGCCATGGGCGCGTTCTTGGTAACCGGGGCGATCCAATTCCATCACTGGAGGGGGGAAAATACAAGTACATTACAACCGGACTGGCTGACTGCCACAGGAAGAATGAACGAGAAACCGGCAACAGCGCAGCCAAGGGCCCCAGCGCTAAGCCGAGCTGAGTGAGTGCTGGACAGGCTTGCCGTGTTCTGCCCATGCTTAGGTAGTGTCGGGAAATCTGGCTCTGGGGAGGTGATCAAATGAGGCGACGAGGTGCGGTTCGGAAACGTAATGGATACCAACGTGGACTAATGGAAACCCGGGGGGGAAAACCTTTTCGTATTTCTTTCTCTCTCTCTCTCTCTCTCTCTCCTCTCTCTTGACTCACGTTGCGAGATGGGAACATCTGAGGCGGCCAATAATCACCTAATCCAAGCTCAGGGAAGGGGGGGGGGGAGGTACTGCCGCATTCCCCGTCCCCAACTGCACCATGTCGTGACAAGAACGTCAGAGGAGACAGGCGCATAAGACGGAAAAGAAAAATCAGTCAGCTGCATACACCACTATATGCGAGCCCAAGCATCCAGATCGTCGACGACAAGTGTGCTGATCTCCCCTGCCGTCCCGACTGATGTGCTCTCGCACGCACAGTCTCGCACGCACACACGCCCGCACACGCAATCACTCGCGTACTCACTTAACCACTTACTCACCAACACACCCCGCCGAGACATGTCCGTCAAAAGACTTCTCCTCGGCATTAGCTGTAATGCCTAGCCCCGCATCTCAAACCCCGAGCCACCTAGTGCCAGGCGGGACACCGCCATGTCGCACCTTCAAGACTCGACACCACCACCGGAGTACCGCACCCGAGGCGTCCGTCCGTCCCGGTTGTCGGATGGACCGTCCGATCCGGACTGGGTTGCCCGTTGTTCCCCTCTGGTCGCCATGGAAAAATAGCAAAATACCTACTGGAGTGTCATCGCAAAACCGAACGCTGCCATATCGGGCGAGAGGAATGATGCTGGGGAGAAGACAAGTCGAGGCGATGACATGCTTGGCATCCAACCCACCTGGGCCGGGGACCACGGGGGAGGGTCGTCTGACCTCTCTTCAGCTCGCGAGCCGGGCTGTGCGTATATGAGACGTGTCCAGGGCAAGCGATTTTCGGGTCTGGAGCGGCAACGCAGCCTTCCGAGCTGGGAGAACCGGGTGGACCTGTTCCCCCGGAAGGCGTTCCCGGCTCAGGCCAAGCAACTCCGGCATAGGTAGATGGATGGATGCCGATGGTCGTCAAGAGGGCATGGCCCAGCTCCGAGCTTTCTCCCTCCTGCGCTTCCCCCCCCCTCCTCACCCAAGCCGCATATACGAAGGCTTTCGAGAACGAGGCCTGAGAGTTGTAGGTGAGCACGGCAGAGAGGACGTCTCGTCTCATCGTCGAACAGAAAGGTACGAGTGGAGTCTTAGTGCCCGACACCCCTGCCGGATATCCGGTTGGGTGGGTTCGAGCTCACTCGGATGGGCCGCGTGCTGTTGCCCCAGATTATCCACCCTGGAAAAAAAAGATCAAACGGGAGGATAAGAAAAAATAAAATAAAAATAGTCAAAACTGGAGTGAAGAAGAAAACAGAAGGAAAAAAAGTGATAGACCGAGACCAGCCGCCTCGTGCCGTCCTGTCGGTTTCGAGCCTAACTTTTCTCGCTTCTGTACCTACCCCTCCCCCCCACATTCCAATACCTAGGTACTCAACTCAAGGATGGGGAAGAGACTTGTTAACTAGATAGACTTTGCGATTCCTCCCCCCCCCCCCGGTCCTTGTGCCTGCCGGGACAGAGTTAATATTTATTGTGACCAAAACAGGGCCAACCAAAGGACGCCAGTTTGCGAGGACCTCACACGAAAATGCCGTCCGAACGCCGACACAACCATTCTGCCGTAGTAGTCATTAGTTGAGAAATGTCTGCATCCATGCCCCTACATGGCACGATGCCCCAACCACGTGCCGCCAGCCAGGCCCCTTGCAACATCCGTCGAGTTTCTCATGACCACTGCATCGCGGCGTGTTAGTCATAGTAATAAAGAGCCCCTCCCCTCTCCTCCCCGCCCCCTTGGAATTTTGAGGTCACGCGCGCAAAAGAAAACACAGCGAGACGACCAGCATCTGTCGAAACCCCTTCCTGCGTCCTGAACCCTCCATCCGCTCTTTTCTTTCCACCCCTCTCCTTCCCCCCTCCCCTTAAAACACACAAACGTCCATATGATGGTGCCCTGGCCCTAGATACTAGGTTCCATCAAGCTGGCGTACCTGGCTTGTGTGTGTGTGTGTGTCTTGTCCATCGTTTGACAAACTTGATGCACGGCCACACCATCAAAGCAAGCGGGCCTAGTTTGTCTCCAACGAGGGGAGAAGGAGGGGAAGGAGGAGGAGGATCCAGCCAAACGAACTCGAGTTTGTCCCGCTGCCATCAAAGTGACAACACACAGGCTCTCCCCTTGGCAGGCACCGTCCACTCACAGCCCGCCAAACCTACCCCGGATTTTCTCCCCCAAAACGGAAGGAGAAGGGGGGAAACAGAAAAAGGAAAGAAAAAAAGGCCCAGCGCCCCCCCCGGTCCAGTCAGTCTCTATCCCAACTCGGATGGGCAAAGCAACTCATACCGAATTCCCCAGCTTCAGATCACGGCGCCCATTTCGCCGCTGCCTTCCTCTTTTGCACCATACCCCCCCACCCCCCTTTTGTCACACTCCCCGAGCTTCTTCCGACACCCAACCCATTTCCACGTCGCACACGCAAAAAAGGCGGCTCAACCGCACACTCTCTTTTTTAGTTCTTCTCTCTCTCTCTCTCTCTCTCTCGCCTCTACTTCGTACCTAGGTTACTAGTGCCAAAAAGAGGCGACGGACGGCCATCATAAAAGGGGAACCAGGAGGGAAGTGTGGTTCCTCATCACCAATAAACCCTTTCCCCGGGAAACCCTGACCCTTAGGTAGCTCGGTTTGCTCTGAGAGTCGCATCCCTCAGTCTTACCTAGGCCCTTCCCAAACGCACAACTGGAGCCGGTCATATCCTTCCCCTAAGGAGCTCTCTCTTTCTCATCTTGTCTCTATCACTTCTCCCCAGCGTCGGAGCCTGGACGGGACGGTTTGTTTTCCTTCCAGTGCCAACATCGTGTTTGGAACCTACAAACGTGTGCAAAGCCTCCCCCTTTCCATCCCCTTCCTGGGCCACATTTCCCGTCCGCTTCTCGGACAAACGAGAGAGGTTCGACCACTTCATGCAAACAGAACGCTCTCTCTCTCTGCTTGCACCCGGCACAGCTTCCCCGGATTCACCAAGTTGAAACCGGTCGGGCCCAAACACCGGGGAACCGCGGCCTAAATGCCAAAATGAGAGCCTTCGGACGAGGGAGAGGTGGGAAAAGGGGTGAAGGCGGGGTAGGGGGAGGCCCTCCCCTCCCTCCCTCCTTGATATTCGAGTAGTCGTGACATGCAATTCTCATTCAATGGAAACGTTCGTGCTGCTCGGGCTCTAGCTCGCAACTAGATGCAGGTCCACCAAACCCCGGTACGGGTTCACGCAAAAAAAGAAGAAGAAGAAAAAAAAAAAAAAAAGACAGGTGGCCAATACTCATCCCTAAACCACTGGGGTAAAACCTCCCTTCCTCATATCGGCCCAGATCATTGCCCGCACGCCCAGCAAACTCATCACACGCAACACCGTACGCCCTCTACCGTCCCGGCAGTATGTACTGTTACTCCATTTCCCAACGGGGCAGCCTAGTGTTATGTACTGTTGCCCCTCCCCCCTTGTTGATTTACTCTTCCATCCCGATGCTGCTAAGGTATCCAGGAGTCGACAAATCCGCATTGCGTCGACTTCCATGCCAGGTGGCCAAATGAAAACCAACGCCGTATAGAATCGTGGCATGTACCGCTTTCGAAAGAACATGCTCGTGCCTGCCGATGTCCCTAAAACGCCACACGTGTGTCTGTTGGCTTGGCTCGGCCCAATCAATACTGGGGGCCGCGTTGCTTGCGCATGTTCAGGGAGTCCGGTAGCACGTTGTACTTGTGGCTGAGCTTTTTGCCCTGCTTCGAGAAACGCTGCAGACACTCTTCGCAGTACCATTTCGCTGTGTCCAAGGTTAGCCTCTCGAACTCTTTTTTCTTCTCTTCTTTCTCAGAGATGCGACGGGCATCATCACACTTACAGCTTCCCTTGGGAGCAACCTTGAGGCCCACACAGTTGAGGTGGAACCATTCCCGTTCGCAGTTGTTTGCGTCGCAAGCCACCATTTCGCCGTAGCTCACGCTGGTGCAGTAGCAATATGTCGGTTCGTCTTCCGTGTAGTCGTAGCTGCGTTTGCCAGCTTGGATTTCCGCGTCTTCAATGTCCTCGCTGTCCTCCGTCTGGTCTGCCGTCTTGATGGCCTTGCTGTTTGTCATTATGTTGCTCTTCTTCCGCTTGCTCGTGCTGTTGGTCTCCGTATTGCGCGCCGACTTTGGCCTTGCTGCCTCTTGAAACGTAGCCATCGCTGGTGTCGATGGCTTACTGGCTCGTCCACTCTTCGTCACCGTGGCGGCGTTTACCGTCTGAAGCACCGGCGTCTCGCTGGGCGTTTCCGGTTCTTCGGGTTTCGGTGTTTCCTTCTTTTGCTTCGCCGCGGGTATGCTTGGCTTGATGGCCGTCTCGATTGGCTCAGGCTCCTTTTTCGTAGGTTCCGGCGCAGGCGGTACCGAAGGCTCCTTGGCAACAGGCTTGGCCTCGACGACAGGCTTTGGCAACGGCGCCGGAGGTGCTGCCTCCGGTGTCGGCGGTGGCACATAACCGTTCGGCTTGGCCGAGGCGGACGATGGCGGCCGAGACTGTTTCCCGCCCTCCACCGCCGCTTGCGTCGTACTCTGCTTGGCTCGTGAAGCAGTGGGAGGCTTGGGAGCGGGAGGTACGGGGGTGACTGTCGGCGCGGGAGAGCCGCGTGGCAACACGGCGTCGGAAAAGGTACTCATCACGGGAGAGGAGGCGACCGATGGAGACATGCCGGCGACTCCATTTTTGCTGTTGATGTGCAAGTCAGACACCGACGACAAAGGATTCCAAGTAAACACTTGCGGGACGACATACCTTTTCTTGGCAACTCCCGTGCCCGTCGGCAGGGCCTTTCGCTTCTTCGGGCCGCCTTGGCCGCCTTCTAGCGCTGGGGTTTCCCTAGGGCTTGTTGTCTTCGCCTTTGACGACGCAGCGGCCCCGAAGACAGTGCTCATGGCCCGCTCCGTCGCGTTGTTTCCGCTAGGCGTCTTCTCGACCTTGCGCCTCTTGGGCTGTGGGGCCGTCCCGTTCGAGGCGCCATTTGTTGAGATACCCAACCCTACGCTGGCAGCGGTCTCGGCCGCTTTGCGCGCTTTACCGCCTCCGTGACCCTTCTTGGCTGTTTCTGGCTTGTTGCGGCCTTCGGCGTCATCAAAGTCCGATTCCTGAGGCGCCGTCTTCTGGCTCTTCTTGGCCTGGACGGCTTGCTTCCTCGACTCGCTCCTGGCAGCGGCCTCCTCGGCCAGCTGCTGGGCTGCGGCAGAGATGGCTGCGGCACCCTCGCGACGCGAACGCTCCGTGTGTGCCGCCTTAGTTGCGGCCCTGTTCTCGGGATATGCCCAATGCGAAGTGCTCCCCCACTTCGCCTCGTCGCTGAACTCGTTCTCGACGTACGGCCAGACGTCTTCAATTCGGGAGAGCTGTTTCTGGAGGGCGTCATTCGCCGTCGAGATGACGTGGTTCTTCTCCTCCAACGAGCCGAGCATCTCCTGGATCTTGTAAGCTGTCTGTCGAAACAGCTGTCTCCTCGGGAAGTTGCTGGCGTCGTAGATGGATGTCGTGTACGAGCCGTCGGTCGAGGATGCCGGAGGGGGAGCTTGACTGCCGAGACGACCTCCGCTGGAGCTGTTCTGCGCACTCATTGGAGCTGACGCAGGCGCGACACTACTGGACGTATCGTTCGCCGGTCGGGGCTGCGGAGGGGGTGCGTTCATGGCAGCGTCGACGAGCTTGAAGAGCGCATCCTCGGGAGCGAATATTTTGGCATCGACCTCTTTTAGTAGGGTGAAATGTCGGACAAGCTCTTTCGGGAGAGCTGCGATGGCATCGGAGAAGTAGGTTATCGCAGGATAGATGTCGATGGGCTGGTCGGAAGCAGTGCCGCCAGCAAGAGAGTCCCGCCCGTTGGCAGATCCACGAAGGCCTGACGAGACGCGCGGTGGGTTTGTACGTGTCTGTCGGACAGGCTGGGACCTCCTACTTGACGGAGTGTCTCCTGACGGTGCTTTGGCCGACTTCATCGCAACTTCAGCCGGCGTGTCGCGCGGGGAGTTGTCCAAGTAGTGGGAGAGGAAGCGAAGACCTGGCGCAGCAGCGAAGTGCCACGGGTGGATTGTCGTGAACGGACGGGTAAAAAGTAAAGGGGTCCCGTCTTAGCAAAAGACGAGGTCTGCACAATTGAAAGATGATACTGAAGAAGCCTAGGGCATTCTCACCGTTGTAGCAAGGTGGCCTGGGAGGTGCAAAAATGGTGGGCGTGGGAGAGGGGAGTGCGCGAGGAAAATCAAGAGAGAACGCCTCGGGATCTTCCGTCATCCATCCGACGCACTTTTGGGGGACCTCAGTGTATCTGCCGCGGGCTGGAGAGACCGGCTGGGTGAGTGGAGTGACCCCATCCGTTCACTTAGCGAGTGGTTTAGGCCTGAGGCCCAAGTGAGCTCACCCGAACCTGCGAGGCCCCAACGCCCCCTGTGCCTGTCTCTCCAGCCACACTCGGCAGCGAAAATCGGCCAAGCCCCCTCCGATCCACCGATGCGATGCGCGCAACGGGGGGGCAGCCACACCCACTGTCGTCATTCGTAAGCCTCTTATCGTCGTTGCGCCACAATCCGATAAGCTCCAGAGAGCGACCGTTTTCATTCCAGAGCCTTCAAGTTAATTCCGTAACCTATCGAATTCGCATCGTTGCGACACCGAATCGTAACTCTCCTTGTTCCTTTTCCTGTCTTTCTTTTCTCTCTCGCTCTCTCTTGATTTTTGTTTCTTCTTTACGCCGCTCATCTTGCAACCTGACAAACTACCTTTAAAAACAGCAATTGAATTTGATGGATATCAATATGGTACAAACACACTCGTGGTATCAATTCCGGCCACCTCCACCCAACAACGCAACCAAGGACAAGTCCTAGGCAAATCTCCTGCGCAAATACTATCGCGAAAATGAAGAAGAAGAAAAACGCCCCGCAGTGAAAACAGAGCAGACCGTATGCTCATTCGAGCAGTTTCAGGCAAGCTTCCGCGCCTTCGAGTTTGCTTGTTTCGGGCGCTCGTCGGCTTCAATCTGCTTCTTCTGCCTCCATTGCCACTCCAAAAGCACCGGCAGGAAGTGCTGCAGATCAAAGTCTGGCCAGAGACACTTCAGGAAGAAAATGTGCGTATCCTGGTGGCACTGCCACAGCATGAAGTCACTGAGTCTCTCAACACCACTAGTCCTGACGAAGATGTCCAACGGTGGGTTCCCAGCAGTGTACATGTGGTTATTCAGCGTCTCGGCTGTGATTGTCTCTGGGTTCTTCAGATGGAGGCCACCTGCGGCGCCGGGCCGATGTCTCGGCGGCGAGGGCGAGTCGGGTGGAAGAGTAGTCGACGACGAAGCGCCATCGTCACCATCTGACCGGGAGGAGGGAGCGGGCGACGTGTCGCGGATGGTGGGGAGGGGTTCTCGACGCTCTAGCTGCTTCGACATGATCTTCTGCGAGATGCGAGCGGCCGGGAAGGGCGTGAACTTTGGGCCTGGAGGCATCATATACTCCTGCACCGTGGATCGTATGGCCGTCGTCATTTCTTCTCTCGCCGTATACGGGAAGCAGATGTTCAGCACGTTGCTACTTCAGTCAGTTCGGCTCGCCCAAAGGACTACATGCGCCTAGCTCACCGCTTGTTGTACTTGGTCATGTCGACTGCACGGTCAACGACCTCGAGCACGTCCTTGCGGATCAAGTCTCTCTGGCCGAGCACACGCACCGCCGCACCGTACCGATCCAGGATATCTCCATGCTTCGTCAACTGCTCGAGCTTCACCTTGGCCAGCTGCATAAGCCCATCGACCTCGTATTGCGGGCGGTTGAAATTTTCTATACTGAAGGCGTAAACCGTCACGACTTTGACGCCGCATTTGTAACAAATCTCGAGAACCTGGACTTTCCCTATTAGCGAACGCGTCAGCCGGAGGTAGCGGCGGGATGGCGGACCCTGGCCAGAGCCTCGAACCCGTGGTGGTGACCTTCGATCGTCTCCATCTTCTTGCCGCGAGCATACCGCCTGTTGCCGTCCATCTCGAATGCGACATGTTGAGGGACCGGGCCTTGCTTCAGTGCGCCAATGAGGAGCTCGCGGAGCTGGTCAATGGCCCATTCGGCCGGCGGTGAGCTAAAGAGCCACCGCGTAATGTGGTTGATGAATATCTCCGACATGCTGTTCTTGATGTGATTACGGCGCAGACGTTTTACGCAAGGAAGAGTGTAAGGGGTGCAGCACTGCGCGCGTTGAGGAAAGAATTATTCGAAGGTAAAGCAAATTGTGCGAATGAGGGACGAAAAGCCGGGACACCCTATCGGGAAGATTACAAAAGAGAACGAGAAACAGGTATTGTTAGTATGTGATGGGCGTCAGCAAGTATGTTGGCCAGTTGGAAGAGTACCCGCCTTGGACTCAGTATTCCGGACCAGCAGAAGCTACCAGAGTTTCGGCGTGTGCCCAGAGCTCTGCGCCTCACAGAAACACGTCGTCTTGACAGGGAAGCAAGGGCGGGATGGGCACTGCAGCGCAATTCGTTGGGCGAATGGGAATCCGGGGGTTCAAGCGTGTGGGGAAGCCACGGTCGGTCAGCCCACCAGCCTCGTAATTGCACGGGATCAGGTACCTGTGGCGTTGACGTGAGTGAGGCCTTGAGGCTGGAACCATTCATTCCCCAATGTCCACACCACTATGGAGGGGGGTGTACAAGTGCATGCCTCCGTGCCTACCTCTCTTATCTCTGGTTTGAGCTTCGAGTGGGTTCGATCTGACGAAGGCCGAAGAAACCACCTGGCATCAACGGTCCTCCGACCGCGCCTCGCTTTCTGGCCTTTGCCCTTGGTACTCTGACGACGCCGCTAGCCTGCGCAAACCCAATAGCATACGGTTTATCCGAGCATTCAAGTACTTACATACCTACACACCACCTGCAGAACACCCCGCAGCAAGGGGCACCCAAACGAGGTTTCCTCAATCCAAAGGGATCCGTCATCCTCCCTCGAGGCACCGATCCACCGCTGTCGCGATACAGAGCTGACGGGTACGCCGGACCACAATGATATAGCCCTCCAATCACCAACATGTCTTTTACGAATGCGCCAGTGACGCGCTCTCTCGTCCTTGGCTTGGTGACGAGCTCCATTGCGGCCAGCCTGCTAGACGTCAAGCACTACTTCTACATCGTCGTCGATACCCACCTCTGGCGGTATCATCAAGTCTGGCGCCTCCTGACGTACCAGCTATGCTGCACCAACTCGAGCGAGGTGCTCTTCGCCTCAATGACCCTTTACCAGCTAAGGGTAATTGAACAGATATGGGGATCGAGGAAATATGCCGTGAGTCGTCACCGAACCAACGCAAAGGCACCAGGTCGAGCGGCACTGACCTATCCGTAGTCATTCGTAGCTGTATCCGCGCTCTTCACCGCCGTCATACCTCCCATCTTCTTGTCCCTCGTCCTGCGTCCACTGACGGCGGGTCTGTTCAACTACATGCCGGCTGGACCAACCCCGATTATCTTTGCGATACTCGCGCAGTACCACGCCGTGGTTCCTCACGTCTACAGATACCGCGTCGCAGCTTCGTCGGCGCCACCTACGGACGATCCGTTTGTCGGATTGACCTTCTCGGATAAGACATACCGCTATGCCCTCGCATTACAGCTGGCCCTCTTCCAATGGCCAGGCTCACTGCTTGGGGCTGTCATTGGCTGGGTTGTAGGATATTCGTGGAGGAACGACTTGCTGCCAGGAGCGGTGACCAAATGGCGCCTCCCGGGATGGATAGTTGGGGTCAGGACACAGAGAAGTCGGAGCGAATTTGAAGGCCTTCGACGGCGGTTGGAAGGCGAGAGCTCGTCTGCCACCGCATCCGGCGTTCAGGGACAAGTTGACGGGGACTCTGGGTGGAGAAGACCGGCCGGCCAGGGCAGGCGTGAGGACTGAATAGCACAGATCTGCAGTCCAAAGACACAAGCAGTCATTCGTGATCTAGGCATTGACGACAAACATTTTCGGATGTGTTCCGACTGGCGAAGCGGACTGCTCTCAGGCCTGGGTTATGTCAACTCTCGCTGGGCCTCGAGATTGAACGGTGAACATTCGGGAATCGGCCATACGTGATGCGATGACGGTGGGATATAGATGTGGGCAACTATCCAGCATGCCGTTGGACTATTGAGAAGGTCGTTCGACGTGCTCACAATGAAAATTACCGGTATACAGAGGGTCGTGCCTGCATCAGAACCAGATGAACCCCATTCGTAGCGTACACGTCCAGTAGTGTCGGTACACTACCCGCGGCCCTGGGGATGCCGACGATCATTCCTGGGATGGAAAAAAAAAAGAGTAATGTTGTGGGCCAGAAAAGGTTTGGGCCGTGTTTCCAAAGTGGTTTAGCTCAGCGCAATCCCAGCACAGGATCCTGGCAATCAGGAACCCGAAATTACGGTGTGTTCCCTCTCTGATTACAGAGTCAGGCTATCCTTATGCAGCAGATACAACGACACTCACTTGGGACGTTTGAGTTTGAACTATGTCCAACCCCAAGCGCCTGTGAGCACGGCGGAGCTTTTGTCATCCCAAATGCTGGTGATGTTTGCATATGAATACAAGTGACAGTGACAGTGACAGGTTGTGGAAGTATGCAAGCGCGGAGAGTACGTACTGTTGAGCGGACGGCCATCCGACAATAGCACCCACAACGACGCGGGCAATAGACTACCCGAAGAAGCTTAGCGTCATGAACCCAAAGTGGAAGCTGCGAGGCATCGCCAAATGTAAACAGCCTGCAAGGGGGGTCCGGCTGTGCTGAACTCGTGTCAAGCGTGTCATGTCTGGACGGCAAACTTTACACCCGCCAGTGCACACATCGCTAGAGGAGGGGGAATGATATGCCTCTTTACCTAACAGGTAGATCACTCTTCTCATTCTGCTTCTCTTTTTCTTATTTTTTTTTTCTCCCTATCCTAGCAACTTCCCCTTCCCCGGCTGCCTATCGCCATACGGTTGGTGCTTATTCCGCTCCGACGACGTCCCGACTCGTCTTCCGTCTCCACGGCGATAGCAACTTCGTTCCCGCAACGGCGAACCCCCCCACCCCCTTGCCTCCCACGCTAAGTGGCTTTCCCAGCACATATCCCACACGCCAGCCACCCTTTGTCCCTTCCCAGGCTGGCTTGTGCGACGGTTCCAACACCCATCCCTATCGAGACGTGCCTGCGATTAGTCTTCATAACCCGCCGGATGAACATGCCCCCTAAGGCCGCCACGACACCCTAAGCCACCTACGATTCTACGAGTTTTGTGTAATATAATGATTTGACGACCACCGTCGCTTACTACCGGTCCGATCCAACAACATGAACGGGTACTCCCCGGGGAGGCCCTCGCCGCCCCGGGCTGCTGGCGGAGAGAGGCCCCTAGGCGGTGATAGCCTCAGGAGGGATATTATGAACAACTTGGAAAAAGCGTCCCTACGTGTTGATCCAGTCAGTTGTCTTCGTCAGTCTTAGTCGACGCCGCGTAGCCAAATCTGACAACTTGTAGACAAGCACAAAACTGCCCCCAAGCTCCGCGCTCGTCGATCTCAAGGACCCGATCCAAGTTCATTTGTTGACGGAAACGGCCTTGACCGACAGTAAACAATACCGAATATTGTCCCAGGAAGAAGTCGATGGTGCCAAGAAGCAAATCCAATCGTTGAGCTTGCGCGTCGAGCAGACGCGCGCGAACCTCGCTATCCAAACAAAGTATCGAGATGCCGCTATTTCCATGGCCAAGCTCTACACACAGCCCGAGGCTGGTAGAAGGAGGAGCTTACTGGGCAACAACCGCAACAGCATGGGAGAGTCCTTGCGAGAGGCCGAGGCAGAGCGGCAGGCGAGCGAAAAACGAGTCGAGGACCTATCCAACGAACTGCGGAATCTCGAGCAACGCCTGATGGAATCGCAAAGGAATCTCCTGGAGCACACGGCCGGTATCCTCCAGCTGACACACAGGGCTTCCAAGAAGCCGGCCAGTCAGCTGCCCGCGCAAATGATGAACGGGATCCCCGGAAGCCCAGAGAGCCTTTATGCCTATTCAAACGGTCGCAATAGCTTGGAACCGGCGGGAGACGGCTCCTTCGACGAGGATGGCCCATATCAGAATCTCAACAATGAAAATATGTCTCGCGGACAAGCCAAAGTCAGCCCACTCAATATCCCGCCCAAGGCACCAAACCGAGAGCAAGATACCCAGCTGCAACAGGAGGCGGAGAAGCTGAGGGAGGAGAACGCCCGGCTTCAGTCGCAGACCGACGCCTTGGGTGCTGAGATTGATGGTCTCAAGAGAGAGAAGGCACAGCGCCTACAGTCCGTCTCTGACACCGAGCGGAAACTTACGACATTCAACAACTCTCTGAGAGAGGTAATTATTAATTTTAATCCCACCAAGAACGGAGGCTTCCGTGCGCCCCCCTCGATAGCGACCGACGCATCAGTCGAGCCCGGCACAGCCCTGGGGAGCCAGTTGGAATATCTGGAGGCTGGCCTGTCGGCAGTGCGCGAGGAGCAAGAACTTCAAGGACAGTCCTCGGGCGCTCTCCAGGAGGCCGAGGCCGCCGCGGGCGAGGCGTCAATCGCTCTCTCGCAGACGGAGAGCCGGCTAGACGACTTGAACCAACAACTGCGCGATATTCTTGTCGCGGTCGACCCGAGCTATCCCGACGTGGCGAACTCTGGCCTTGACAGCCAATTCGACTGGCTTCAGCGTGCTATTTCTGTTGTGGACGAGGAAATGAAGAAGACGGCCGGCCTGTCGGCTGTCAAGAAGCAAGACGAGGAGCAAGTCGAGGCTGCACTGGTGGGCTTGTGGGAAACCATCCAGTCGGGCTTCGTGAACATCCAAAAGCAAAAGGCAGACCGCCGCCGCACGCGGATGGAGCAGGGCGTGTCTGAGAACGAGGACGACATGTCAGAAGACGAGGCCGTCGACACCACAGAGCCGTACTCGCTGTCGGCTTTCTCGGCCAAGGTGCAGTGGCTCTATAGACAGGCCACCAGTCTGAAGGAGCAGAAGTCGGTCCTGAAGCGCCAGATCAAGCAGCAACGCGAGCTGAACAGCAAGTCGGACTCGCAGAGGGACGAAGAGTTGAGGGCGAAACAAGAGCAGCTCGAGCAACTCCGGGCAGCCCAAATGCGGTCCGAGGAAGAGAAGACTCTCGAGTTGACGCTCAAACAAGACCAGCTAGATCAGCTTAGGTCGCTGCTCGAGCGGTCCGAGGAAGAAGTGGCCGAGGCACAAGAAAAGCTGGCCAAGACGCAAAAGGAGGCCGAGGCCGCGATGACCACGCGCATGGCCAACGAGTCCAGCGCAGCCAAAACGCAGGACGAGATCAAGCAGCGCGACGCCAAGATCGCCTCCCTCGAAGCGAGCACCAAGGAGGCCCAGACGACGCTGGCGAGCCTCAACACAAATGTCCAAGAGTTGAACGATAAGCTGAGCCGGGCCAACGAGGAAATCGCGCTCCTGACAACCAAGCTTGCCGGAGCGGAGAAGGCGGCAGTCGAGAAGCAGCAAGAGGTCGCGGCCAAGGACAAGGAGGTCAAGGAGAAGGAGGAGGAGCTGGACCGGTTCAACATGATGATTGTCGAGCTCAAGACGGAGCTCACCATCGCGCAGGCCGAGCTGGACGGCGCGTACGGCTCCCGTAAGGAGAGGGCCGACCAAGCCGCGGCTATCAAGAGCAGCGTGGAGGCTGCGCAACTCAAGACCGAGGTCGACCGGCTCAAGGAGGAGCTCAGCTCGACGCTCAAGGAGCTGGAGAGCATCACGGCCGAGACGATCAAGGCCGAGCGGGAGAAGTTCGACGTCGAGAGCAAGCTCGACGACGCGCTCGCCGTCAAGTCGAACCTCGAGGGCGAGATCAGCTCGCTCAAGGACCAGCTCGAGGCCGAGGTCGACAACTCCCGGGTCAAGCTGGCCAAGCTGCAGGAGGAGCTCGACAGCGAGCGCCTCAAGGTAACGCCCGGCGCCGGCGCCCGCGGAGCCGGGGCGTCGATGCTCAGCGAGCAGTTCCGCACCACGATGAGGGAGGAGAGGAAGAAGTTCCAGGAGGATCTCAGGGTAAGTCTGCGTGTGCTCGTCCGCCCGTGCCGTAGCATGCTAACCATCCGCGCGCAGGAGGAACAAGGCAAGAGGAGAAAGCTCGAGGAGGAGCTGCAGAAGATCAAGAAGTCCCAGGGGCCTGGCCGGAGTCCCCTGAGCCCTAGGTGAAACCGAACACTGGCGACGAAGCCCCCATCCGAACTATGATATCGTCACCCGCCTATTGCTTGTGGAGCCCGCATCTATGCGTCCCCCTAACGCAGACCGTCTTCGGATCAACACAATCACTACGACGTGTATTAGTACGGACTTGCTTGTTGTTCTCTCACCCTTTTTTATTCGTTCTTTTTTGCATAGTGGGATCTCTGGGAAAAGGGAGGTTGAGACCTATTCTACCCAAGTCCCTCCTGGTTTTGGATATTACTACTATTACTACCAATACTGGCTGCGTGTTGGCGCACAGCCTCCAAGAGTGAGTGTACCACAGCCGGGTGTTTATTTAGTCTGTCGCCGAGCCCGTCTTTGTATTACCTTTCCCGCCTTCAAGCCGGGCGCTGCCGTCGGATTTTAGTATTTAGATTTTTTTCTTGTTTTCTTGGATACCATACAGGAGGCCCGAAGATATGTGGGCTGAAAGGAATTGAATCACGAAGTTGAAGTTATGTTTTGTGTTTGTTTTCCAGCTGCCCCCCCCCCTTCTCTCGCTCGGTATGGCGCGCTCCTTTGGTGACGGTATGCCCCCCAGAACCACCATTTTTACTTTTTTTTTGTTCTTTTTTTCTTTGTCTGGGAGTCGGTTTCCGAACGTACATGAGGCCGTCACGGGGCAATGATGGACGGAGCACGAACTTTGCAATCCGTCGATGCTCCTCTTCTCCTCCCCCTCTCTATCGCCGTCTGTTGTTCCCTCACCCGCCATGGCCAGGGACCGGCCGATATTCCCCCCATCCCTCGGCCTGGCCGTCGTTTTCTTCTCACCCTTATTGTGCCGTTCGATTCTCACAAATGGGCATTCTCTCTTCGCCCCAGTGAGCCCCCTTCGTCCAGGACACTGGGGGGAAGGCGGAACCTTTCCCTCTTCCACCGGCCTCTTATGCCGTCCTCCCACCCCCCCCCCCCTCCCACCTCCTGCTCCTAACGGAGGCAGTCGGTTCCATCCGGGGTGTTCTGGATCCATCACGGGCCCCGTAGCCTGCTAACCCGGCATCGAAGAGCTCGCCCACGGGGTAATGATGATTACGGCCGCGGCGGCCTCGGCATTCGAGGAGTAGAGGCGGGCTGGGGAATTGACTCTGGCTTCGCGTTTCCTCTCTGCTCGTCTCGACTACGACTGCATGCTCTTCTCTCACTGCATGTCCACACCATTCGACCCGGGCTGGAATGGTATTGCCAGATATGCCGACGTTTCTGAAATTTTTTATCCCTGGCCCTGGAATGACGGACCCTGGCCCTCTTGATAGATGGCGCAGATGCGACTGGTACAAAGACATTGCGCCATACCTTTTCGAAGGGCTAGTACCCGGAGGACAGAACAGACCAAAGTACAAGCTTGTGTAGACGTCCCGAGAAGCAGTAGATTACTTCCTTGAGGAATGACAAGCTCCGGCACACCTGGCAAGGCCACCAACGACTCTGCCTTCTGCCGCATAAGATTTCCACAGCGTTAAGAAAGGCATACAATAAATCTAGGCACTTTAGACCTGACCTGACACACGACGAAGACTGGCGGCCTCTGTTTTGTTTTTTTGGCCACGGATGGTCCTAGACATTATTAACTACGTCAGCAGTTGTTAACACTGCGCCCAGTTTGCCCCGTCCAAGCCGGCAGCACCAAACGCTCCTATGTCAATCTCAGAACCCATGCAAGTTGTCAGCATCAACCACCTAGGACCTTTCCCTATCACGACCAGAGGGTACCGGTATCTCCTTGTGTGAAGTGATTATTTGAGCTGGTTTGTCTGGGCCAAGCCCACTATTTCGACGGATCATGAGGAGGCCGCAGATGCCCTGAGATCACGGCTGGTTCCAACATATATATATATATATATATATCAGCTTCTTCCCCGATGGCCGATGCCTCCACCGTCGTCGGCGACGGCAACTCCGTCTGCGTTTCATATCACCCCCGGAACTCGAACTCGTTCCCGCCCTCCCCCTCTTTACACGCCGCAACACGACGACGGCGATGGACGACAGCGATGAACGACGACAACGACGTCACCAGCGCCGGGTAGGTGGACCAAGAACCCTCCATGCGCGGCGGACGGTTCGCCGGCGGCCGAGCGTCCTCGGACCGGGGCTTGGGGAAAGCCTCTTCTCCCCATCCATGAGACCAAAACCCCCCTTCGCTTTCGTCGTTTGATTCTCATCCCGAATCATGGCCGCCGGGCAAGCGAACCCGGGCGAAATGGCGTGAAACCGGTGAAGCCGTCTGTTCCCTTCGAGAGAGCGCGTCGGACAAACCCTGGAGCCGGCTTGTTGCGTCCCCTCTCCGCCCGTGACGACTTCGCCGGCGGATGGTGCCCTCCCTCCGTGACCTGTCCGTGAAATGAGACAATACCAATGAAAAGACGCCATCCTTCTTTTTTCTCCTCCCCAGCACGGGCGTGTCTCTCTTTGACCCGGACAGCAAGGTAGCAGCACCCAGACATGCTCCCAAGATGGAAGGCATCTCGACCCAAGAGGTCTAGCCCTGCCAGGTAACATCCAACGTGGGGAGGGCGGAGGGCGCCATGGTCCCTTTTCGCAGATGACCGCCAAACTATTCGCCCTATTGCCACGGCACAATCCAAGTCGGTTTGTTTCCGCCTTATTATTGAAATTGCATTGTTGGAGGAAGGGCCGCCCCAACCTCCCCTCCCCCCACCTCTCTCCGTCGCAGCGCAAAAGAGCGAAGCGTAAAACGTGGCGTCGGATTCGCCCACCAGAAAACCTTTAGCCGGGAACGCGAGATCGACGACGCCTAGCTAGCTGATCTTACGATGGATTCCCTCATCTTCTCAATCTCTCTCTTCAGATGAGATGGATCCAGCAAGGGGGGTTGTACCCGGGCTAGCGTTAGCGGCATTCGAGTTTGAGTCTCACCAAAACGACGAACCCCCTCACGCCTCCCCCCCCCCCCCCCCCCCCCCCCTTCTCCTCCACACTCATCCCGCCCCTAGAGATGCAAGCGAGCATTACCAAAACGGAGAGGGGGAAGACGGTGGGAGCGGGTTCTGTCGACATGGCTTGGGGCGATCTGCGTAGTCCTCGAGGCCTAGATCATATCTTGGTCATATCCGCGAACGAAAGGGGTGGGGAGGGGCAAGATGAAGGAGGAGGAAAAAGTAGGTTATTGAAAGAAGGCCCAGTCGACAATCAAGTGACTACACTGCCTAGGTCAGCAAGGCAGACACAGAGAGGCCGGGCCGAGTTGCCCAACCCTTGCTTTCCTTTGTCTTTTTCCACCGCGCAAGCGGAATGAGGCACTGAGTGACGGTCTCCTTCGAAATGATTTTTATTTCCCCCCTTCTTTTATGCCAGTCTTGTTCCCGTGCCGCTTTGGTGTCAAACTCTCCATGAGGAGGCAATGGTGTTGCCGATCTTCAATGTCCATTTAGGGGGGGGCACTGGACTTCCCAAATGTTTATTCGTACGGGGTACATTCAGTACACCGTGGACCAGCGGGGGGGAGCCACTCGCCCAAACCGGATGACCGGCAATCTTTGATTGGAGCCACGGCTCGAGTAGCGCAAACCAGGGGGCCCCACGAGCATCAAAGACGAGAGACCAGGCAGGTCTTGGGTCTCTACCGTCCTTTGGGAAATGGAGTCGGTCGCAGTAGGCTGCGGCAACCGAGAGTGGTGGACGCAGAGCAGCTGCTACGCAACGAGGAGTGGCGCGCCGATCAGTGGGAAACAGACTCGGCAAAGAGCAGTGATCGAGGCGGTCGTCACGCAGTCTGGTGGTATCATGGACAGCAAAAACAACAACAATAACAACAACAGCAGGCATCGTGCATGAGACGTATGATCCGGGCAATTTGATCAGAGCGGCGGCGGTCCGGAGTGTTTACCGCTCCCGTCGTCCGCGGAGCAGTGGGAGATGCTCCTGTCCTTCTGGCTATGAATCCGTGGTTCCAGCGCACCCGGTGAAACTCGCCGGCTTTCAAGCGAGCGATGCTGCTGAAGAAATGCGGTCAAGGCATGGCTCGAGGGCCCAGCTCCGGGTGCATCTAGGTGGATTCGATGGAATCCAGTGTCAAGCCAAGAAAGGACCCGCGCGGTTCCTCCATCGCTCCAAGTGTGAGAGCCAAGTGTAGTCGACTGATGGCAACTATACACGAATCTGTGAGGCTTTGTTATAGGAACGCTGCATCATAAGGGGGGAAAAAGGGGGAAAGTTGGAATTAATAATCCGAGATAAATAAAACCCCGAAATGAATATGAACCAGCCGACGCTGATGCAATCCGACAACGAAAAAGATGGAGACCACCCATGCGCGACGACCCATCGAGGCGGAGCCCACCCATGCTGGCCCAAGAACGGCGCAAAACGAGTCTTGATCAGGGGGCTAGGCCTTCTAGAAGACACTGAATGGACGGGTAAAAGAGGAGGTGCCACAGCTCGGTCCAGATCCCGCTGTGATGTGATTTGAAACGGTTGATGCTGGAAGGTCGGAGCACCTCGCGAGCGGACGAGGCAGGGCAGGGCAGGGCCGTCGAGAAGTAGAGACGAGACAACGACCGGGCATGGGAAAGGCTTTGGGTGAGCACGAAGGCACGGTCCGGACGTTGACCTCTGAGCAGAGGCCCTCCTCCTCGGCCCAGGATGCGACAACAAGAGGCATGGCAGCAGAGTCAGCGACGTGTACGAGCTCCGTGTGGTGTGGGTGTGCTTGTGTGCATCTGACTTGTCACAGTAGTTTGGTTGCAGAGGGCTCAAACAGCTCGGGTTGCCCACGCGGCATGCCTTCGGACAGGTCGCGCGCACGATTCCCAAACGTGGTCCAACGACGGATCGAGGACGATCAATCCCATGGCATTAGGCGTCGTGGCCGACGTGGGCTGCCATCAATCAGCTCTTGCCACAGCTCTGTTGCATTGCTGGCCTCACTGTTCCCAGCGCCAGCGGGGATCGGGACGGGAACCAAGCAAGCGGACCATGCTGGTTCTGATTGGGCTTGGACA